ACACTGTTTTTCGGCTTATCAGCCAACTTTTTCACCAAACACGTAATTTTTGCTTTCGCGCGCTGAATTGTGTAATAAGTAGAAAAAGTAAGGTTTGACTTACTTTTCTGACTGTATTGGCTGAAGTTACTGTAGTCTGTAGATGGTCATTTTGGCTATTTTTACATATAAGTTTTTCTTTATTTTATTAATAAAATATATTTTAAAAATAATTTTTTCTTAAATCAGCAGAATCAGCCAATGCAGTCACTTCAGCCAGAACTTTATAAATTTCAGCAAAATCAACCAAATTAGTCTATTTTCGTGCTACCAAACACGCTGTCAAAGTTTTAATTATTTGTACGATACCTATATGCATTAAAATCCTATTTTCTGTACGCATGTGGGAATGAGATCTACCCTGTGCACATATATTTGCACTTTACGATGCAAATATACGTAGTATAAATGTATAATTAACATACTCCTTTTACTATCATATTGTTACACGAAGTATAAAACCATATCATTATTTAAAGTTTCTTATGTTTGCAATAAATGTTACTCGTACTATATATACTTTTTTCTTACAATTGGATCACGGCTATCCAACTATTTACTACTGGTATTAGTTCTAATTTTTATCTAAAAACAATTCTTTACTTGAAACAAGTTATATACATGTATTCTGTCAAAAAAAAAGTTATACGAAGTATACTAATATACATGTATGAAAAAAAGTTATACTTGTATACATTCTTACTTCGTACCCTACAAAATCCCGAGCAAATAACATGTATCCCCGCTTAATTATTGTGCACATCATTAATTACAAGGGTTTAAAGCATGATTAATGGTGAGTATGACCCATAATCTAAAACGATGTGATATTAATTTGGTACAGTCACTGCTTATCACTCACGTTGCAATGTTTGATGTTTATTTTGTTTTGTAATGCATGATGACCTGAATATAGTTTCTAATACATTGAACTTCGCGTCATCGTAATCAGAATTAGGATAACACAAAATGACATGAATCTCCATAAATTATACCGTACGAGTCCAAATACAAAGATGTTGTCCAGTTTTCTTTTTAAATTACTCATTATATTAATGATATATAGATGCACATTTTTCGCGATATATAGCTGCCGTGAAAATTTAGAGGTGTTTATAACTATATATGCATTTAAGTTTAATAAGGAGTAATTAATATGTTTAAAAGTCGTTGTAGTGTAGTGCGATGGTCATTTAAATTTAAAAGTTGTACATAAGTTGTTACTATACATTAAAAGAATTAAGGATTAACAAAGATTTTTACAGAGATTCATCAAAATTCCTAGAGAATATGATTTGACAGGGATATGTATGTGAAATCCGTGGCAAAAACATTTTGGCACTAATTATTTGACACGAAATTGTCAATTCGTGTCAAATCCATTTCAATCCATTAATTTTTTTTGTAGTGATAGTTACTATAAATTACACTACCTCCGTCCCGCTAAGATAATTGTCTCATTTTACCATTTCGGTCCATCTCACAAAGATTGTTCCATACCTTATATGGTAAAGTTTGTGTGGTTCTAAATCATTCTTACTTTATTCTTATTATATCAATTCAATATCAACCACATAAACCACTTTTTATAGATTTGCGTGTCACTCTCTCTTGTCTCATTGTTAGTGGGATCGAGGGAGTATATCATATTTTTGTAAATAACATTTATATCAATCGTAAATACGTAATTATTTCTTCAATTTATAAATTACTCTACCACAACTAATTTTTTTATGGGTACACATATATTATGAAATCATATAAAATGAACGCTCTGCTCTATATAAGTGTATCCTAAAAAGTTCATGTTCAATACATCCTATATCAAATAATTACATTTATCACTGAAGCAAAGATTGTTGACTATTGACCATATATAAGTAGTGATTTAATTATAGTAAATGGAAAATAATCATGTAAGATAGGCCTAAATGTTAAAGTTTTAGGCCTCTTTCAGTTGAGGGGTTTCTGAGCTGATTTTTTGATGAAATTTTGTGAGAATGCTCTTCAGAAGTGTTTATTATATCTACCAAATTTTGGATTAAAATTTAATCGGAAAGCCACTTAAATTTTTTTTTTAAAATTGGGCAGTTTTTTATACATATAACATGCAGTTTTTTTCAATAGTTAGTTAACTGACTTCCAGATTTAATTTTAAGTTGAACTTTGGTGGACATAACCTACTAGGGCTGGGCACGGGCCGGGTCGGGGCGGGTAATGCAAAATAAAATGGAACCGCCGGTTCCATTGTACGGTTAGGTCCGGTCCGGGTATTACAATTTTCAAAATAGGAACCGGAAATTACCCGGCCCGTTTGAAACGGGTCGGTCCGGTCCGGGTTTTACGGTTTCTATTCTCATGTCTTGAAATTAGTTAAAACTCACGAAGTTCCAAAAATCAATAATCAATAATATAGGACATTAGCAAGTTTCAAAATAACAACATAGTGGTGCACATATAACACAAGCGAAAAGTCCAATACTCCATAATTTCTTGTATATAAGTTTCAAACAATTAAATAAATTCCAAAAATATGCAACATAGCCAAAATACATATTTTCTAACATTTGTATTTAAACATGTTGTCTAACATCACATATTAAAGCGATTGCTTTTTTTTATATTCAATTTTCAGTATTAGCCAAAGTTGAGACATACATGGTGGGTGGTAAACACAATTTATATATTTTAATAACAATATAATAAAAAAATATAACAAAATCATCTTTAACAAATAATTAAATTCCATAGAAAGGAATAATTCAATAACAATAAAAAGTAATAAGATATTTATGAAACATTTAATCAATAATTTGAAAACAAAAAGATGTTACTGCAACTCAATTTAAAATCCTACTTCTAGCAAAGGAAACAAAACTATTTCAAAACCGATTATCACAAAACTATTAATAAATTAATATACAATATATAACGGGCCGGGTCGGGTACCCGTTATTTTTTAATTTTGGAACCGGTCCGGTTCCTTAAAAAAAATTACCCGACCCTACCCGGACCGTTTTATGGGAACAAAAAATGGAACCGGCCCGTTTTGGACCCGAACCGCCATTACCCGAACCGGACCGCGGTTCCAAGACCCGTTTGCCCACCCCTATAACCTACACTTCATGGAGAATATGCTCACAAAAATTCATCAAAAAATTCGACCCAGAAGCACTTCAAATGAAAGAGGCCTAAAACATGTAAGTTTTAGGCCTACCTTAAGAGAACACTACCCTATAGTAAATTATGTTCAATTTTTAAACTTAAGTGATCATGATATTATATTGTAATAATTATTAGTATTTTTGTAATTAAATAAGAGTTATTTTGATAAAAAAAAATTTATGAAAAACCTCTTTATATTTCAAAAGCACACAAGCAAAATTTTCTTTCAATGTTTGTGATTGTAGAAATGATGAAATAACTTCGAAAACCTGATCGATTAAAAAAAATCCCTCCCCGAGCAGTGGCGGAGCTAGAAAAACGGTTGAGAGGGGTCAAAAATCAACTATATACAAAATGAAAATGGTGAATCGTTTTTAGACAATGTCCGAGTTCAATGTTTCATATGTAGTTTAGATAAATAGACACTCATAGCATTAACATAGTTGTCTTTGCTCTGTTTCTGAGTAATGTCACATAACTAATAAGTTAATTATACGTGATGGTACCATGGACTCTGACCATGGCCCAATTACATAATCCAGCCAATAACGGGATCAGCCTGTGCAATAATGGGAAAGAGGTACTCCAATAGGAGTCCTGACAGATATATTTATAATAGAGGAGTTGCCAAAATACAAAATATTCCTAAATAGATATTAGACAGATTCCTAAATATATATTAGGCAGATTCCTAAATATATTAGTCTATTACACCCCCTCAAACTGTGCGGGAGATACAACGCGCAGGTTGTCCTTTAAAAAATGAAATTGCAAACTAAAAAAAAAACTCTTAATAAATATATCCGTGAGCGGAAGATTAGAAGGCACATCTTTGATAATATGATCTCCATGAGAATATATGTCTGCAGCAGCAAGCGGCGAACTCAACAACGCGCTTGAAGCAAGCACCGTGGTCAGCGACACAGAGAAGGTGGGTTGCGCGGACATAGGCAGCAGCAGGCGGCGAACTCAACGGCACGCTAGAAGCAAGCAATGTGTTCAGCAACGCGAAGGAGGTGATCTGCACCATATTAGCCGCGCTCATCTTCAAAGGATCAGAGACTACCGTAAATGTGGCGGTAGTCGACCCCGAGGCGGCGGCGGCTATAATAAGGTTCATGGGAACCGAAAAAAACGAAAAAATTGTATCTACAAACCTAGAGCTCTTGATACCATGTGAAATAATGGGAAATAGGTACTCTAATAGGAGTCCTGACAGATATATTTATAATAGAGGAGTTGCCAAAATATAAACTATTCCTAAATAGATAGTAGAAAGATTCCTAAATATATATTAAGCAGATTCCTAAATATATTATTCTATTACAGCCCTCTACGGGATTTGCCTAATTAACAGGATTAGCACATCAACGGGATCAGCCCTCTACGGAATTAGCCTAATTAACAGGATTATCCCATCAACGGGATCAGCCCATCAACGAGATCAACCCATAAGCGGGATCAGCCCATCAATCGGGATCAAAGATAATAAGCTGCTGAGCCTAATTGGGAATCAGGCCCACGACAGGAACCCACAGCCAGGACGGTCTGAACAGCAGACCTCGAGCCCGGAGCCGACCTCAAGGCTGCGCAAGCAGGCCTCGAGCCTGGGCGGAGTTCTAGTGAGGCCGGGATATTCCTAAGGTTTACGTAGCAGGCAGGACATGTCCGGAGTTTGGAAACAAGGAGACAACTAATGCTTAACGTCCAAGGCATGAAAGGAGTTCTATTTCGAGCAAGAATATAGTTCATTAATTAGCATTTATTGTATTAGATTCCTTCTAAAATATCAACTCCCAAAGCCTATAAATACTCATGTACATATCTTGTAAAAGGGGTCTCTCTGGAGATGAATAATACTCTTATTACTTTCTCACGATCAATGAATATTTGATTGATTAAGCTCTTTTCGCTGGAATTATATTCCATCAATGGTGCTCTCGTTGAGAGCTTGATCAACAATCAAGTTAAGATCCTCCCAAAACATACGAAATTCATCACATCACAAAAATACCCAACAAAATTCGTAGAACCCTACTGCTACAACACGTTTTTCATCGCCACGACTTCGTCCACCGTTGGATCGGGCTGAAATTTTTGCAGCATGTTCGTGACTTCTAGGACTCCAATCTGAATGGTTGGATCGGTGAGAAGATGTCTAGAGTGGGAGAAATCAATCTCGCACAGTAGCAGCAAAAATCTGCTGCAGCATCGCCCGACCAAAAGTGACGCTCCTGTGAACAAGCCGAAGGTGAAGAAACCTAGTCGGAGGCCTTAAGGCTAAAGCACACGCTGCCGGAAATCATTGAATCCGAATGAATTTGCTCCTATCTCTCCTGGAACGACAGCGACGGGATTCCACATGTCTCCCGAGCCTTTGATAGCAGCTGAGTCTTTTTCTAAGTGGTGTGAGATTTCATGAGTAGCTTATTGGGTTGTAATCCATTCAATTAATCCACGGCCAGACATGATCACCCATATCAAAAGCTAAGTATTCTAGTTCTAGCTTTAATTATCATACGTTACGATTATATTCCTAGATCAAATTTGGTCAAAAGACATTACAAAAATTATCAAAATCATGATAAAAAAAATATAATTGATGTAGTATCACTTTGATCTCGGGGGCTAGTCATCCCGAATATCAAATTCAAACTACACAGCCTGTGCATTGAAGAACGGACTTATGAACACTCAAATACGCCCGACTAAGTACTAACACTCGAAAGCAAAAACAAAAAGAGAGAACTAACATTCGCACTACCGGATCACATTAGACGAGTGTTATTTATAAGCTCGCGGTCTAAATGTCATATACTGCATACTTTCGTTCTTGTGTTTTGTATGAGTCATGTGTGCTCTTTTATTTAGGCATCATATTCCGACCTCGGGGGCTAGTTATTTCGAATGTCAGATTCAAACTACGAACCCTGAGTAACGATTTGAGTCCTAGATATGGGCCACCACACTCTACCAAGCATAGAATCTGGATTGAATATTGGATGCCATTTAGCTAGGCTCAAGTTTAATAGCGAACACCAAAAATTGTCACAATTTTATTTCAATGCATAAGTACATCCGGATGAGGACTATCATATTGATCTCTCAAGCTTGTCTCGGTTATCTACCAGACGAAGGATTAATAAGGAAGCCATAACAGCATGAACAGGGAGATATGAATTCACTGCGAGGCAGCTGGCCACGCCTAAGCCGACCTGGACATCAGGTAGCAGGCCTAATGGTTAGCCCATGGAGGTCAGACTCTCCCTAGGGCTCAAGAACGAGTCACAAAGGTCCAAATAGGAGGATCTGGGTCCATCATGAGGTCAACCGTACCAAAGCCAACCTGGACAGCAGGCGCCAGGCTAAGTGGAAATCCCTTGGAAATCGGACTCTTCCTAGGGCTTACATGGTCGTAGTTCCGTAACGGACGAACATAAGTGGCATCAGAAGAGTCATGAGCACAAAGGAGGTCAGAGTCGATCCGTCCTGGCCAGAACGTCGGGTTAAAATCGGTGCAGGGCTCCAGACCGACTTAAAAGCAAAGATAGTCCGAGTCTTGATGGGATACGAGAAGATCTTTGGCTGGGACCAGAACAAATCAACTGTTCCAGATGGACCATTATCTGGCCAACCTGAATTCCCAGTCAGCACTGTCCTGGATTACGCGGCGAAGCAGGGCTTACTCACAATCCCCGAGGGATGTAACGACGTCAACGGTCAATCTTCCATGGGTAAGTTCTGTAAAATTCATAAGAGCGATACCCATGAGACCGACGAATATTACATCCTAAAAATTTATGTGGAAAAGCTCGCCCGCGAAGGACAATCAGATCAATTTATAAAGAAACTCCGACAGAATCAAGATCCCTAAAAGAAGAACACCTGGAACAGGGGAAATGACGAGCTGGTCTCGATTTCCAAGAAAAGAGAGGTTGGAGCCCAGTTTGAGGATGATGAAGAAGGGGAAGATTCAGGCCGGCAGAACCACCCACATGTTAGTCAGATCTGCAGCAGACCTGTATGAAGAGACATCACGGTGGAAAGAAAAAGGTGGAATCACCAGCTCTTCATCGGAGAAATCAACCGTTTTCCTGCTGATAAAAGCAAAAGTGGGAATCCATTATCTTCACCAACGGCGACTTACCATTGTGCCCTCCACTTCATAGGGATGCACTGGTGGTCAAGATGGAGGTCCTTGAAACTATTGTGCATAGAGTTCTTGTAGACAATGGAAGTTCGCTGAACATTTTGTACATGAAGACTTTCCAGGAGATTGGCCTTCAAAAGGCAGCCCTTAAGCCCGTCAAGACCCCACTGTCAGGTTTTACCAGGGACACAATTGAGCCAGAGAGGGTCATCACCCTCAAGATCCAGCTCGGATCGGAACCATGCATGAGAACGATCGAGGCAGACTTCATAGTGGTCCAGTTACCAAGTGTGCACAGAGCCATCTTAGGCAGGCCTCTGTTGGAGGATTTGGGAGCCATCATATCCCAGGCTCATTTGTGTATCAAATTTTACACGCCTTCCGGGATAGGTATTGTAAGAGGAGATAAAAAAACAAAGGGCTATAAGTTGCTACGTGAGAGCTTCCAAAGCTCATGGAAAGAATGAAGTCAGGGTGAATGCCATCGAGCAGGACTTGTCAAAGTTTGAGTAGGGACATTTCAAAGCCCAGCCTACTTCAGAGCTCGAGGAGGCTAGAGTTGATCCGTCCCGACCTGAGCGTCAGGTTGAAATCGGTGCAGGACTCCAGGATATGGAACCCTCAGAAGTGTCAAAGAAGTCCAGATTCTGACTGAAAGGCTAGCAGCCCTGGAGAGATTCTTTTCCAGGTCGGCAGACAAGTCCCTACCATTTTTCCAGGTCCTGAAGAAGAGCAATGGGTTCCAATGGACCCCCAGAGTGCCTAGCTGCATGAGAATATCTCGAGAAACATCTACAATTAGATCTATTGCTTAGAAACCTGAGGCTGGCAAAACCCTCATTCTCTATTTAGGGGTCACTCAAAGTGCAGTCAGCTCCGTATTAGTGCGCAAGGAGGAAACCACGCAGAGGCCGGTCTACCACATCAGCAAAATCCTCCACGGGGCTGAGCTCAAATATCCAGCCCTGGAGAAGACCGCCCTTGTAGTATATGTAGCGGGCAAGAAACTGACATATTACTTCAGAACGGCCAAGACCGTGAGATTTGTGAAGTGGTCCCTGCTAATCAGCGAGTATCAAGGTTCAAAGGTTGCGGAGAAGGGTGGTCCTCATCACCCTTGAAGGCTTCAAGACTTATCATGCCCTCAGATACAAAGTTTAGTCTATCCAATAACGAAGCTGAGTACGAGGCCCTACTATCGGGCCTCAGGATGGCAATTCACTTCAAGATCCAGAAACTGAGGGTCAAAAGCGACCCTAAGTTGGTAATCAAACAACTTAGAGGGGAATACAGAGCCAAAGAAGAACGAATGCAGAAATACAGGAATACAGCCCTGAAACTTATTACATAGTTCGAGGAGTCAGATTTGATGTGTGTTCCACGAGCCCAAAACACTGAAGCAGATATTTTATCCAAATTGACAACAGATGCACCTGAACATTTCATGCGCATAGCTCGGATACAAGAGCTGGACAAGCCTAGCATCGAAGTCACGAGAGATCTGGAGGTCTTCCCTATCGGACAGGCTCAAAAACCCGGGGTGGAAGAACTAAGGGAGTACAAGGAGGCTGGAACACTGCCTTCCAACGAAGAGAAGGCAAGGCTAATCAAAAGATGGACTCCGAACTATGTCGTTGAGAATGACAAACTTTACAAAAGAAGCTACAATGGCGTGCTACTCAAATACCTAAGGCCAAAACAAGCTCAGCAAGTGATCAAGGAATTGCACGAAGGGACTTACTCCTCACATCAAGTGTGAGGCCCGCCAGAAGTTCCAAACAAATCCTGGCAGGCCTGCTACGCTTTAATTACCATCCCATCAACACTGCGATTCCCTTCTCCAGGTGGGGAATAGATCTCGTCGAGCTGTTCCCTCCAGGATCAGGAGGTCGGAAGTTTGTTATAGTCGCCATTGATTACTTTACTAAGTGGGAAAAACTTGGGTGGACGAGCTCAACAATGCGTGGATGATAAGTCCGTATTTTGACACGTATTTGATGCGTGTTGAGATCGGCTTTTGATGATTTTCCTAGTTTTAAGGTGTTACAAGTCTCAATTTTAGCTCAAGTTATGTTTACCGGGCGTTGGTTCGAGTTTTGTGTTGTTTGTAGTCAAAATCAGGAATTTAGAGTTCGGCACCGGCGCTTGAGAAGAAATCAGGATGAGTTGAGAAGCATTCAAGGGTGATTTGAGAGCTTTGGAGGTCACCGGGAGGTTCACGATGAAGATTTGATGACAAAAGAGCTCTAGGATTGGCTACGAGGTCAAAAGAAGATGAATGAAGATTGAAAACGACGATCAGGATGACCTTCTGTCAATCGTTCAAGCATATCTCTTTGTAGAAACATCCAATGTACACGATTCAAGTTCCATAGGAAAGCCCACTTCAAGTCCTACAAATCATATGAAGACACCTTTGCAAGAATCTGAGAGGAAGAAGGTGAAAACAGACGATGAAGGCAGATGATCTCTGCTGCGATTTCAGAAAGACACCTTTCACCGTTTTGATCATATCTCTTCATTGGATGATTCAAATCATATTCGGAAAATTGGGGTGGATAGAGGACTTCATTATCTACAACCTTCATGAAGGAAGTTTTGTCAAATTCGGAAGTTAAGTAGGCACGATCTTGCCCTCAAATTCAGACACGATCGTTCCTGAAGAGAAAAGCACCGGGAAGTTACTGCCTGCCAGGCACAATCGTGCCTGGAGGGAGGCACGATCGTGCCTGCCTAAAATGCGCGTTTTTTCTCCGGAGGCACGATCTAAGGCACGATCGTGCCTGGCATCGTGTCTGGCTCCGAAAATCCTAATTCAGCTCAAATTTCACCCGATTTTTCTATTTAAACAGCCTGTAAACCCATGTTTTCAAGGGGGAGCTTAGAGAGAGTGCCTAGCACGAAATTTAGAGGGTTTTTCAGCCTTGTTCATCAATCTTTTGGGATTCTTTGTAAGTTCCACCTTTTTAATTAATGACAATTAATTCTTTTTATTCCAATTCTATTGATTCTTCAATTATGAATTGTGAGTAGTTTTAATTAGGGATTTGGGATTGATGAAGGGGATAATCATGATGTATGGCTAGATTCCTTTCGGTTTAATTGCATGAATGCCATTTAATTTGTGTTTGAATAATTTAATTGATATCTTTTGTAACCTAGAATCGCGACGAGAATTACAATTGCATGTAGAATAAATTAAGAGAGATCTAATTTGTTCTAGGACACATTCACACACACTTAATCGTTCGCTAAGAGATTAGTAGCGATTAAGGGGCCGTAAGCTCGCTCGTCTTGGCAATAATTTAGGATCCTGTCGCATGAGAGATCAGCCTGGTCCCCTAAATTATTGTACTCTACGCCGCGAGAGCGGTAAGAACTTAGTAATGATTAGCTAGGCTCAATTAAATTAATTTCATGTAATTAGGCCTGATCTGCCAGAAATCTGGTTACCCCGGAATCAATCCCTGTTCCCTTCGTCATTAATTAGAAAGAACCCCCTAGTTTAATCGCTCATCTGCATTAGTTTTAATTTTAATCCAAACCAACCAATCTCGCACGACGCTTTTATTTTCTTTTCTTTTTAATCGCTGAATTTAATTAATTCTTGATTCCCTTTTGTCCGTCCCTGTGGAGACGATACTCGTACTTACACCACTATATTACGATCTTTTTAAGTGCGAGAAAACTCACATCAGTGGAATTCCGAACACTTGATGAAATTCTACCAGTAGGTATGAAGTTCCGTTTCATTCTAATACAGTTTGTTTTCTTTCACAAAAGTCCTTTTAAAACACTTGCGAAGGTTTCTTAACCAGCCAAATTGGTACTCGCAAAAGCCAAAGTACAAATTCCAAACTCATCCAAATTCTAGAAGCTCAACTTAGTCTTATCATAAGACGAGAGCGGGGATAAAAGACCTTTTTCAAGGTCAGACAGCCTTATAAACAAAATCAAATTTCCTCAAACAGGACAAGATGGCCTTTCTCAAGGCCAAGACTGATTTACAAAGGCTAAAGGATGAACTAAGGGAGTTAACTTTGCACCGGAGAGACCACCAGACCTCGCCAATTTAAGAGGCTCATCACAAGGCTTAACTGACCTAAGGTGAAGAACCCACCCTATTTCGGTTCAGAAAATAAGAACTTAGGGTTAAAATTGGTAAAGCTCTCCGACACCGGTTCAGAAATTAAGAACCTAAGGAAAGCAACCTTGACCGGAAATTCAAGGCCTAAATAAATAAGGAAAAAAGTGATTGAAAATAAACTGGTTGGTCTAGCAAACGGGGTCAGACCTCGAGGTCAACCCAGGGCTCCCGGATCATATAGGTCAAGGTTCAAGTGGTCAGTTTCCCAGAGAAATCAGAAATTCCCAAAGGAAGAAGCCAACCTAAATCAGGACTGGACAGCCTCAAATATGCCCAAGGATATCAGGCAGATCAGGTAAACAACACCGGAGAAACAAACAAAGCTAGCATGAAGATGGTGCCGCAGACAGAACAGATCAAAAGTATCAGGCGGTCATTGTAGCTAAATACATCGGTCGATGGGTCCACCCTTTTGCTTCATTTTGGGGGGCATCCGGTGTACTCTTTTTCCCTCGCTAGGATTTTTTCCCAATGGGTTTTTTCCCAGTTAGGTTTTTAACGAGGCATCTCCCCATATGAACAAAAGGTGACGCCCCTCGACCCTTGGAGGAGTTATTACGAGACAATCACTACTCCACTTCTCTCAATGTCACCACGCCCGCCTCAAAGAATGAAGAATTTCAAGAATGAGAAAGGAATCAAATTACTCCTCTAAAATCCAGCCCTGCTGATTTTAAGGAGTAGGGAGGCTCGTGATGGTATCATGGACTCTGACCATGGCCCAAATACATAATCCAGCCCATAACGGGATCAGCCCTCTACGGGATTAGCCTAATTAACAGGATAAGCCCATCAACGGGATCAGCCCATCAACGAGATCAGCCCATCAACGAGATCAGCCCATCAACGGGATCAACGCATAAACGGGATCAACCTATAAACGGGATCAGCCCATCAATCGGGATCAAAGATAATAAGCCACTGAGCCTAATTGGGAATCAGGCCCACGACAGGAACCCACAGCCAGGCCGGACTGGACAGCAGACCTCGAGCCCGGAGCCAACCTCAAGGCTAGGCAAGCAGGCCTCGATCCTGGGCGGAGTTCTAGTGAGGCCGGGATATTCCTAAGGTTTACGTAGCAGGCAGGACTCGTCTGGAGTTTGGAAACAAGACGGAGACAACTAATGCTTAACGTCCAAGGCATAAAATGAGTTCTATTTCAAGCAAGAATATAGTTCATTAATTAGAATTTATTGTATTAGATTTCTCCTAAAATATCAACCCCCAAAGCCTATAAATACTCATGTACATATCTTGTAAAAGGGGTCTCTCTGGAGATGAATAATACTCTTATTACTTTCTCACGATCAATGAATATTTTATTGATTAAGCTCTTTTCGCTGGAATTATATTCCATCGATACGCTATTTTAAAAATTTGGGAAAATAATCTGTATTATGCATCAAGTTTTGTTGATTTTACATTTAGATAGTGCTGATTTTCCAGAAGTCATAATTTTTTACTCGTAATGAGTTACGAGAGCCATAATATATCAAATCGAAGATATTTCAGAGCTTTATACTCTCAAACTTTCAGCGGGGTCGTCTGACCACCCTGACCCCTCTTGGCTCCGCCCCTGTCCCCGAGCCTACATCCAGCTAAATAATCCACCGCCACCCATCGAGAAAACAAAAGGGAAATTGGTTAGAAGCGACACATAATTTGTCACTTACCGTACAACTACAGTAAATGCGGAAGAGTGTCATTAATAATTCATCTGGATCCAGTTCATCTCAATTTTTCTCTCCATTTCCACTCCATTTCTTTTTTACTTTCTATCTATCTTTACCTTTTCCTCCATTTTACTCACCAACCTACTTCACCCTTAATTTTATCCTCCCTTAATTTTATCCTCTCTATATCTCCCCAAGTGGAACTCTCCTGTCAATGGAGGGGATTCAAGTTCATTCCTGAGACGTTGTTATATGTTGTAATGTTGAGATCAGTGCTCTGTGTGCATGTATTCTCATGAAGTAGAAAGTTAGGAATCATTAGTAAATTTTGTATAACATTTGGTACAAAAATGCATGATATACATCATGTGTTGTAAATTAAATGTCCCGTTATAGAAGATGTAATTATGTGGGAACAATGTATAAGAAATTTTAATATATGGAAACCCTAGGCGGCCATCTCCCACCTTATGTGAGATCTTATCGTCGAACCTTTTCTTCTTCAATCACCTTAAAGATTTTTCTATGTTTTCGGCCTTTCGCTCTTAATTTTTTAATTTCTACTTTCGAAGGTTTTGGTCGGATGTCTTCTTCGCCCGAGAGTTTTGTCCGCTTCATGTGAGCTTGTGATATGTTTTTCTCATAGCGCTCTCTAATCGTTGTGGATTTCTCATCGGTGTAATCGATCTGGTGGGTTTTCATTGTTCATGCCCGAGGGTTTTCATTTTCATTTTTTCAACATTGTTGTTCTAAGGATTCAATAATTACTCGTTCTCCACCTGAACCACCGCCTCGCTCTAGGAAAAAGAAAGTGTTCAACGGGGTCTCCTTTTTGTGGCAGGTCAAACCGATGATTCAAACAATTTCTGCTCGGTTGGGTTCCCTTTGATGGTTGCTGGTCAAATCAATTCTCCCTTTTCCGGTGTCTGGTGAAGCTGAATATTTTGTTTGTATTTTTTTACTTTGTATTTTTTATTTGAAGTAGCAAGCGCAACAATGCTATTAGACTAGACTACATTATTGCGGAGTTAGCGATTTAGAAGGATTCATTCAATCTTTTCCGTTCAAAGTCTCATCCCATTGTAGCTGTTGGGTTAAGGGCCCAAGCCGAGGTCCGGCCCACTAACCCATTTTGCCAGACGAGCGTCCAGCTAGAAACTAGGCCAGCCCACAGGCCCATGTTCTTTAAGAATGGACGAACGTCTGGTGTTGGAGGACTCAGGCCCAGCAGCTCATTCCGACGAACGTCTATGCAGGGACAAGGAGCAGAGCCACGGGCCACCAGGGATGGCGACGAACGTCCCCAGAGCAAGCCTGTAGTCATCGGAGAAAACCCAGTGCACATGGTGAGTATCTAGCAAGGCCAGGAGACGAACAGCCAATATCCCTCAAGGGTCACTTGGAGCAATCCAACTCACTTCCCGGGTGGACGAACGTCCCCACTGATCCGGCGGGAAACCTAGATTCTGGCGGGAAGTGCATTTAATGCTAAAGATTTGGTAGTTGGGACACCAGCGGTCCACAGGCTGCCACGTCAGTACAGCCACCTGCCCATTGGCGGGTATAAATAGAAGCATTTATTTCATTGTAAAGGGTTGGCAACTTACTATTCTTAGCATACTAGCTCCAGCATTCTTACTTGAGCATTTCTAACTGCCTTGTAAGACGAACGGCCGACGTGCCCTTTTAGCAAGTAGGTTGTATTTAGGGGAGTTATTACGAAGTTAATAATACCTATTTACATTGCCTGCTATTACTTTTGTCTCCTAATCCATCTGATAGTTGTTGGGCTAGACATTCATACACTCACTCCACTCGAAACCTTTGGGCTTACGTGTTGGGTCCACGGGTTGAAGGAATAAACCTCAACACTGGCGCCGTCTGTGGGAAACTGAGCAAAAAGTTTCCAGAAGCTCTCCCAAAACAGCTGCTAAGTCTACCTACAGCAAATACGATGTCAGGAAGCAACAACCAGCGTGATCTCTCCGAGCGTCTGGAGTCGAGCCGCCGGAACCGCGGCCAGAACTCGGAACTATCCGCTACTATATGGACCTCCGGAGGAAACGGGGGCATCACTGACCTCATTCCCCTGGAGGCCAGGCAGGATCCCCACCTCATGCGGGAACTCGCAGATACCATGCGTCGCTTGGCAGATGAACGGGAGGCCCGAGATCGGGTGTACTCTGCAAGCACCCAGCGAACACCCCTCTCTCCCATACGCCGCATGCAGTCGTACGATGATACGACAGGCTCCAGCGACCACCGGCCCTCCGTCCACGAGCGTCTAGGTGGGGGTTCAGGCTCCCGTGAAACGGGAGGGCGGACCAGGGTTAGCATCGCTGCATCCAGGGCTCTCACACCATCAGTTCCTCGCCTGATTCCGCGGGGAGACGAGACCCCAAGGGTCAACACCGTTGGACGACGTTTCCAACGGCGAGGTGCGCAGATCTTCAGGCGGCCGCACGATGTTGTGGCCGCTCAGCAGAACGCCACCCCCGAAGCCGCGCCCCCTATGTCCCCCGGAAGGGCCGCACAGGACGCACGGCTGGAAGCCATGGAGAGGCAGATAGCCGAGATGAACAGGCGGGCGGACGCCGGCTCGGCCACACCCTCCTTCTCTCTCACATCACCTTTTACTCCACGGGTGATGAGCGTCGAGATTCCCCGGGATTGCAGGCCCCCGGGGAACTTGGTGTATAATGGGGCTGGTGATCCTAAGGCCCATCTGATAAGCTACCAAGGGAACCTGTCCATGCTGGGAGCATCGGACGAGGCCATCTGCAGGTTGTTCTTCAGCACCCTCAGGGGGCCAGCTCAGGAATGGTTCGGCCAGTTGAGGCCAGGCACCATTGATTCATACGAACAGCTTTCCCGGCAGTTCATGGCACAGTTTGCTGCCAGCACCACCCCCAGGAAGGATGTCACGGCACTCGCCCACATCAAGCAAGGGCGGGACGAACCGCTGGCTAAGTTCCTGGTGAGGTGGAGGGACGAGGTACTGCAGGTCGACGATCTGGACGAACGTCTGGCCACCAACATGTTCACCAGTGCGCTGGCCACAGGGGATCTGTACCGGGACCTGAGGAGGAATCCCGGCACCAGCTACACCGAGGTTTTGGCTCGGGCACAAAAATATGCCTCCATTGAGGAGGAGATCAGGCAGCGGGACGGAGTTCCCGCAACCCAGCCTAGGAAGATGGCGGACAGGCTCGGACCCAAACCGGGACCCGGGCCCTCACCCCCAAACAAAAAGAAGAGGTTGGACGGGGCGATATCCCATGGAAGGCTCCCCCCGGAGACAACCAGACGCGGCCGGACGACCGCTATATACCATTGGCATATCCAGTGAGCCAGATCTTCGAGGCCATCAAGGACAAGGGCCTCCTGACGGAACCTCAAGATATGAAGAAGTATATGGGGCTTGACCAATCGGCCTACTGTGAGTACCATCAGAGGATCGGCCACCTGACGGACAACTGCAGCCAGTTAAAGAAAGCGATCGACGAGCTGATCCGTCAGGGGTACTTGGGCGAATTCACCCAGCTGCTGAACAAAAACAGTCAGCAGAAGCCGACCCCAAGGCACAAGACATGGCGCCGCGACGACCGGCGCGAGGCAGAACCTCAGGACGTGGATTATCGGAGTGCAGATAAACGTCCGGAGGGATCCCTCGGCCCAAAGGGCAAGAAGAAGAAGTTGGAGATCAAGGTGATCTTCGGGGGCGCTGAGACAGGAGATACACCCGCCGAACGGAAAAAATTTGAGAGATCACTGTATGTGGGTTCCGTATCAGCACCCCCCACCAAGCGCAATAAGATCGAGGCAATTACCTTCGGCCCCGCTGATCTGCCAATGTCACCAGCACCGCACAGGGACGAGCTGGTGATCAGCATGGACGTGAACGATGCCATCGTCCGGCGCGTCCTTATTGACACCGGGAGCAGTGTGAACGTCCTCTACTGGGAGGCTTTCGAAGGGATGAAGCTCAGGAAGGACATGCTGCATCCCCTACGCACCCCGCTGTCCGGCTTCACCGGGGATTGCATCGACGCCGAGGGCACCATCGCCTTGCCAGTAGAAATCGGCGACGGTCCTCATACGGCCCGAATCAGCATGACGTTCGTCGTGGTCCGCCTAAAATGCGCCCACAACGCCATTTTGGGCCGACCCGGCTTGGAAGACTTGGAGGCCATATGCTCCGTACGGCACTCATGCATCAAATTCCCCACCGACACTGGAGTGGGAGTGGCACGTACGGACCCGCATATGGCTAGGGCCTGCTACACAAAGGCGATGGAGAAGCTCAACGAGCGGGAGGCTCGGGTCAACAGCATCTCTGAGAGGGCCAAACAGGCCGACTTGGATGCTCATCTGGAACCAGCAACTCTGCTGGAGGAAATCGAGCTCGACGACCCGACGGACAGGAAGGTGTCCATCGGTGCAGATCTAGAGCCGGAGATCAGGGCGGGGGTCATAGCTGTCCTGCGGAGATTCCGAGTCTTGTTCGCCAGAGGACCGGAGGACATGCCGGGCATCGACCCCAACCTCATATGCCACAGACTCGCCGTGCGGCCGGACGCCAAGCCTGTACAGCAAAAGAAAAGATACATGGCGGCCGACCGACGCGATTTCATCAGGAAGGAGACGGCAACTCTCCTCAGCATTAAACACATCCGGCCGGTCATCCACGTGGAGTGGCTGGCCAACGTGGTACTAGCCCCGAAGGGCGACACTTGGCGGATGTGCGTCGATTATTCGGACCTAAACAAAGCTTGTCCGATGGATCCTTACCCCGTTCCGAGGATCGACTTGCTGGTGGATGAAACGGCAGGCTGTGAGCTGCTCAGTTTCATGGACGCATTCAGGGGCTACCATCAGGTGTTCATGCACCCCGATGATGCCGAGAAAACGGCGTTCGTCACGGCGGACGGCGTGTATTGCTACATCGTCATGCCGTTCGGCCTGAGGAACGCCATGGCTACTTTTCAAAGGATGATTGGGATGTTGTTCAAAGACGTACTTGGGAAGACAATGGAAGCTTACGTGGATGACATCCTGATCAAGAGCAAGAGAAAGGAGGACCATGTCCAGGACATGGAGAGGGTCTTCGGCATCATGGAGAGGGCCAGCATGAGGCTCAATCCGAAGAAATGTGCCTTCGCCGTCCGGGGTGGCAAGTTCCTCGGCTACATGATGAGCGAGCGGGGGATCGAGCCTAACCCGGAGAAAGTGAAGGCAATTATGGACATGGAGGCCCCGAAGAGCCTAAAGGATGTGCAGCGACTCACCGGGCGTCTGGCGGCCCTGAGCAGGTTCTTGTCCAAACTGGCCGATAAGGCGATTCCCTTTTTCCAGATCATGAAGAAGGCCAATCCCTTTGAATGGACCCCGGAGTGTCAGGCTGCCTTCGAAGATTTCAAGGTGTATCTCTCCTCCCCGCTCATCCTCACCAAAGCGGATCCCGGGGAGAGATTGTACATGTATCTGGCAGTGGCCGACCTGGCTGTAAGTGCCGTGCTATTGAAGGAATCTGAAGGCGTTCAGCGGCCGATATACTTTGTGAGTAAGGCGCTGAACGGCCCCGAAACGAGATACACACTGATGGAAAAGACGATCCTTGCCTTGATTGCATCCATCAAGCGCCTGGCGCCGTATTTCCAAGCACACCCGGTGACCGTCTACACAACGCAACCCCTCGCCACCATCCTCAGGAATCCAATGGCGAGCGGGAGGATAACCAAGTGGTCCCTGATGATCGGCCAGTATGACGTAGACTTCAAACCAAGGCCGACGATCAAGGGACAGGCACTGGCGGACTTCATTGCAGAATGCACCGCGCGCACCGAGGACGAAACCCATGACAGCAACAACTTCGATAATTGGTGGGAGATGTACACCGATGGGGCCTCGAGTGCGCGGGGCTGTGGCGGGGGAGCGGTGATCACTTCCCCCGAAGGTTTCAAGGCCTACTACTCTATGAAATTCGAGTTCAGGGTCACCAACAACGAGGCTGAATACGAGGCGCTTATCGCAGGACTGAAATGCGCGAAGGCCCTCGGAGCGGCTCGTCTGAAGGTGAGAATGGACAGCCAGCTGGTGGTAACCCAGATGAACGGCACGGCAGAAACCAGGGAAGAGAGAATGAAAGTCTACAAAGAGCTGGCGGAGGAACAGACCGCACAATTTGAGCAGGTGGTGCTTGAGCAGGTATCGCGGGTGGAGAATGCAGAGGCGGACATACTGTCGAAACTGAGCAACCCCCCAACCGATGATCCGGCATCAAGCATCCCCCGGCACATCAGAGGCTTCGTTAGGCAGGAGGTGTTCCTAACACCGGCGACGGACGTCATCCAGGTGGAGGTTATCTCCGTTGCCGAACCTAACTGGGCAAAGGAGATAGCAGATTATCTCAGAGATGGAACACTCCCTGAGCCCGAAGGTGATGGTAGTACAGGAAGAGCCGCATGGATAAAGAGGCGTGCCCCTAACTTTGAACTTATAGACGGACAGCTCTACAAGAAGACGTTCGGCGGACCCTACCTCAGATGCCTCCCGCCGAGCCTGGCAGCGGCGGTAATCGAGGAAATACATGAAGGGATCTGCTCCAGCCACCAGGGCCCCCCGGACCTTGGCCAGGAAAATCATCCTGCAAGGTTATTACTGGCCGACCATACAGCAAGATTGCTTCAATCACACCCGAAAGTGTGCAGTATGCCAGCAGTATGCACCTGTCCCTGGCCGCCCAGCGAGTTTCTATACCCCGATGACCATCGCACTACCTTTTGCTAGGTGGGGCATAGACCTGCTGGGTCCTCTGCCCACGGCTGCTGGAGGAAGGAAGTTCGTCATCGTGGCAGTTGATTATTTCACGAAGTGGGTCGAGGCCGAACCATTGGCCTCCATTACTGAGTTCCAATGCCAGAAGTTCGTCTGGCAGAGCATCATCTGCCGTTTCGGGATCCCAGAGCAGATCATCACTGACAACGGCCGGCAGTTCGTCGGCAGAGGCTTCGAGGCATATTTGGCAAAGTGGGGCATCAGGCACTCTAAGGCCTCGGTGGCGTACCCGCAAGCCAACGGCCAAGTGGAGAACATGAACCGGACCATCATGGACGGAATCAAAAAGAAGTTTGAAGACTACGCCTCCACCTGGCCGGAACAGCTGAATTATGTCTTGTGGACATATAGGACAACGCCCAGAACGGCGACTGGGGAGACCCCTTTCGCCTTAGCTTACGGGTTCCAAGCTAAGGTACCGACGGAAGTATTGGTACCTACACACCGCACCAAGCACTTCCAGCCGGAGGACAACGAGACCAACCTACGAGCGGAGCTCGATTTCATTGAGGAACGGAGGGACCTAGCGGCTCGTCGCATGGAAGAATATCACCGGGCCACCCAGAGATACTTCAACAAAGCCGTGAAATTCCGCGAAATAGAGGCCGGGGACCTCGTACTCAGGAAAAGAGAGAAGAGCAAGCCGCTCGAGGGCGGCAAGATGGCGAGGAACTGGGAAGGGCCTTACCGGGTCATCAGAAGATATAACCAGGGGACGTTCCTCCTCCACACCCTGGAGGGGGACCATGCCGGGATGTGGAACGTAGAACACCTGAAGAAGTTCTATCAATAGTTAGAGGCTGATGTCCTTGTTGTATTTCCACTCCCATGTAAAATGACCGGACGTCGTCAATGATAAAGGCCCCCTGTTTTTTACATCACTTCTGTTTCTTGCCAACGACGGCTAAAGAAGGGAATCTCGATGCAGATACACCTGTTCCTCCTTGTGATGTCTGCGGATACCGAACGTCTCCTCGAAGTAGGGACGCCGGTAGGACCAAGGACCAAGGACGAACGAAGCACAGGGAATCTCGATGCAGATACACCTGTTCCTCCTTGTGATGTCTGCGGATGCCGAACGTCCCCTCAAGTAGGGACGCCGGTAGGACCAAGGACCAAGGACGAACGAAGATTACCTCCCTTAAAAAAAAAAAAAAAAAAAAAAAAAAACAAAACAAAAAAAAAAAAAAAAAAAAAAGAAAAGAGATGGGGAGAAGAGGAGAGAAGCTCCTACACGGAAGGGAATCTTGCCCGGGTGTGCCAGATCTTCCCCCACCGCCGAAGGCGAACACCTCTCGATGTAGAGATTAGTAGAGACGTGGAGGGGGCTAGACGAACCAAGGGAGCCTGCCAAGATAAACCTGCTTATCCCACAAATGACCATGGATCGATGGACGTGGGATAACGAAGACGGGAACCCGTGAGGGTAAACCTGTTCGTCCCTGCGAGTTCCTTAGGTACCGAACGTCCTCTTCGAAGCAAGAGACGCCGGTAAGGCTAAAAGGACCACGGACGAACGAAAAAAGGGGGGAATCTCGATGTAGATAAACCTGTTCTTCCTTGCGATGTCTGCGGATACCGAACGTCTCCTCGAGGTAGGGACGCCGGTAGGACCAAGGACCAGGGACGAACGAAGACTAAAAGACTCCAAAAAAAAAAAAAAAAAAAAAAAAATGCCAGACGAGCATGGAGCAAAGAATGATTTTTATTCCTCGGCACTATTGGCCGGAAAATTACAATGTATGAGGGTACAATACAAAAAATGAAAAATTGTACAAGTACAAGATAATGAACGGAGAATCACAGCCGATCGGCGTCCGGAGCTGGAACTTGGGAAGGGGCCTGCTTGGACTTGTCACTTTTAGCGGCTTCCTCTTGCTCCTTCAGCAGCTCAAGGGCCCCTGCATGAGCGTCTGCCATCAAGACGTCAAAACCAGCCGCCTCCGGATCGAAGGGAGCCCCAAAGTGACGCTCGAACGTCGGGAGATTCTCCGCTACTAGCCCAACCATACCTTTGCGGTAGGTGTCATCGGCGAGATCGTCAAGGAAACGACGTCCGGTGGGGGTGGCCTGGAGCAATTTAACCCCATCCTGGTAGGCATCCGGGCAGGTGGCCAGGAACTCGCCAACGAGCCGCGGGAGGAACTTCATAGCCATGGTGTGGATGGCGCCAGTATAAGCCTTGGATTTCTGAAAGGCAATGGAACCAGACTCCTTGATCTTGGCAACATCGGCCTCATAAATAGGGACATGATTGTCCACGCCCGTCTGGCGGAGTTCCACCTTGGCCTGCTCCACGGCCCACATCCGGCTGCGAAGATCCACGAGCTCGGCCTCCTGCTTCTTGAGGAGCTCCTTCTGAGAGGCATTCTCCTGGACGAGCTTATCGTAGGCATCGGCTTTCTCTTGAAGAGTGCCGGCCCTGCCTTTTGCATTCCTCAGAAGGGCGTCGCTTTCGGCCCGGACCCTGGCCATTTCCCTGCCTTGGTGCTCGAAGGCCATCCGGGCCCTGTGGAAGTAGAGCCCGGCTTTGTCCAAAGTGCTCTGACCACACTCCAGAAGGTCTTCGGGTGCCTCCTGAGCAGCGAAGTCCTGGGGGACCTTGAGATTCAGGCCGCACCATATAGAGGATGCTGTTTGACCAAAGAGCATAATTGACTCCTTGCGTGGACCAACCCCGGAGAACTCAATCAAACCAAGGGAGGACCCATTGGCTTTTGGGGGCGAAGGAGGACGAGCATCGTCAGAACCCTTAGCGACCTGGGCATCATCATCCCGGAGACGACGAACATCAGAAGTTCGTGGGGGAGAAGGACGGGACTTGCCCCGAGAGGCAGGCTTCCGCTTAAGGGGGCTCCCGGGCTCACCATCAGAGTCGTCGGCTACTATGATGGCCTTGGAGGCTGTACCCTCGACGCGCGGCCTCTTGGAGACGCCGGCGCCCAAATCATCCTCAGTCCGGGCCCTGGTCACCCGAGTTTCAACCTTGGGGACGAGCGGCTTCCCGGGCTTGTCATGCCCCTTGTGCCCACGACCGGCGGCAGACGGAGCGGTATTATCTCGGCGCATGATGGACGTGGGTGGAAAAACTCCTGCATAGAGGGAATCAAGACGTTCAGAACCATAACAGCGAAGAGAGGTTAAAGCAATACAAGTACAAACGGACGCACCTAATCCAGCCTGAGCTTTGAAGGGCTCGGCCACCAGCAACCGGAGGTTCTGGATGCCAAGTCCGGCTATGCGCTTGGCATATCCAAGCTCCTCGTCCGTCATGGGCGGCGGGATCGTCTTCACAGGGTAGGCATTCCACCGATCAGAGAATGGCATCGGTGAGCCTACTCCGGCCAGGAAGAAGCGCTCTTCCCAACCGTCTGGGTTCCCAGCGTTGTTCGAGAACAGAACCATGGACGGACGGGCAGTCAGGGTCAAATACCCTGTACGTCCGAAGGTGGACAGACGAAAGAAGTGGTGCAGCAGGTCCACGGTGGGGGTCACACCGACGCTGTGGCATCTAATGATGAAGCCAGCGATTATCCGATAAGCGGCGGGGACGAGCTGCGCAGGAACAATCTCAAGGGCCCTGAAAAGTTCCAAGTGGAAGCTGTGCAGGGGGAAGTTCAGCCCGGCTATCACCGAATCTAGGTGGACCACCACATAGCCGGGCAGGTGGCGCATGGGGTTTCGTAGACGCCGATCGTCGTAGGTCCTTGGGGGATAAAACCATTGGCTGATCAGTCGCTTGTCAGCGTTCGTCAGGCGTTGAACTTGACGCCGGACGCATGAGAAGTTAAGGCTATAACGGGGAGGCCGGGGTGGCATTCCCCGCTCATAATACTCCAGGTCATCACCGGAAGAACACCCATCATCAAAGCGACTTTCGGAAGACATGACAACGAACGGTACCTTGGGGTTCGAGATTTCCGATACGATCAAAGAGAAGTCTAGAGAGAGAAGGCAATTGTGCAGCGTAAGGAGAAATGTGAGTGGATCACTTGGATCCTGAGTATTTATAGGCAACACCGCGGAATTGCCCCAACCGAAGCAGGACACGTGGCGCCTGGGTACCGGTACCTACCACGGTATTTAAGGCGTCTCGATTTTGTCGCCGCATAACCAACACAAGGACATCCGGGTCCGTACCACGAACGTCCCTTGAGGAGGGCTCACCGGCTCGGAGGAATTTGAAGACATTCGCCTTCCCTTGCTTCCTTAACTCCCCGGCTGACCCTAGCGTCGGCGGCTGATGAGGGCACACGCACCAACTGGCGACGTCCCTCTTGCAGTACACCAGTTTTTCATGTCACGCAAATGTGGACGAACGTCGTCACCAAGCGCTGTTCCAGGGAAATACGCCCATATGTCCATACTCAAAACGCGTACTGACAAGGCAATTACCGACGAACGTCTTCCCACTGTCAAGATACCGCGTGGGCGGTAAAGATGCGTCGAGACGCCGGAAGGATTCCTTATACTACAGACGATGGGCACAAAAAGGGTGAAGTGAAAATCACGTCCATTAAGGGTGCACGGAGGACGAACGTCGCCTTTCCACACTTCGTGCCAGATGAAAACGCAGGACAGGCGGACACCCTTGCGCGGGGCTTTAGCGTTCATGCCGCGCGACGATAGAAGAACGTCGTTAGCAAGCATTGAGGCAATCTCCGATGTGCGTATGACCACACTTGCAAAGCGTGCTGTTTGGTCAACCCCCGACGAGCGTCGTCTTGCCATCAGAATGAGGTTGCAGGAGGGGCAGCCAGTATCGGCGCCGGGTGTCGCCGTCCGGAGACGGACCTTAACACTGGCGCCACGCACTAAATGTGTACAGGGTTTTGGCAGAGGGACGCCCCTGCCCCCAAGCCAAGTGGGGAACAGAGATGAACGTCCACGCAGACTAGGCGACAGAGAATGTCCCCAGAGCAAAGAGGGAGTTTCCATACAACAAAGGACAAAAGGAAGAAAGGTAACAAGCAGAGATCATGAACATGGAACAATTATGGGCAAAAGGATGTATATTCCTCGGCTCTAACGGCCGGATATTACAGAAGTTAGAATGGAAAAATACAGTTTACATTACACAAAGAAAGGGGATTCAGGCCGGCTGCCTCCCGGAGTCTGCTCTTCCTCCTCGGCCTCGGGCTCAGGGGTGGGGGGTTCCGGAACCTCCCCTCTGGCCTTTGCTTCCGCCCGCCGTTGGTCCCTCGCTAGCTTCCCTAAAGCCTGGAGCAGCAGATCGTCGTCTGTATGCGCTGCCAGCTCGAAGTCGGCCCCTTGCAGCCTCGAAAAGATGGGGAGGGTGGCCTTAACCCCTTCGTTATACCCGGCTGAGAAGGTGCTGTCGCCGACCTCGTACAGGAACTTGCGGGACAGAGGAGAACCCTCAAGTAGCCGGACGCCGCGGGCCAGACGCTGGCGGGGCGGTATCTTCTCCAGAGCCGCGGCAAACAAGTCGGCGAAGACTCCGGCACAATAGTCTTTGGCAGAGTCCATGAACTCCCCAGTGTTCCTGTAGCCGGAGGTGTCGACCAACCACTCCGGAGTGGTGTCCTTGGCGGCAGGGAGCACCGGAACAAGCTTGAAACCGGCTCTTTCAAGGCCGGCCAACTGGCTGCGGGATTCAGCCTGCAGGGCTGCAATCTCCCTCCCCTTGGCTGCAGCCTCCGCCTCAGCTCGACGGGCGGCCTCCCGAGCCGCAGCAATGGCCGCATCGGCTTTAGCCTTGGCCTCCATCAGATCGGCCTCCCGGGCAGCTTCAGCTTGAAGGACAAGGAGCCCAGACTGGATGACAGAAGAAAAAAAAAATAAGGATCAAAGGATGAACGTCAGGGAAAAAGTATATATATGCTCAGATCTAGCAAGGAGGAATTACCTGAAGAGCGGCTGCCAGCGCAGCGCTTGTCGCCTCGGACGACGAACGGCGGGGCAGCTCGAGACCGGCCTTGAGGGCCATCTCCCTCCAAAGTTCTTCCGCCGGGCGGCTCAAAGGCAGGGACCCGGCATCTTCAAGCAGGGGGCCAGTGGAGCCTGCCTCGCGGCCCCGCTTCTGTTTCTTCTCAGGGACCTTCTCTGTCCCCTTCTGAGGAGCCGTCTTCGTGGGGACGACCGGCGGCGGAAGGGCGGCTTCGAGAGCAGGGGCCCCGGAACCCTGGGCCAGCATGGTGGCGATTAAATGTTGCTCACCCTCGGCGGTTCGCCTGGCAGCATCAGAGGCCGAGGAGTTGGACTCTGAGGCGGGGGCGTTTTTGGCTTTCGCCATCGCAGCTTTAGCCGCGGCCGCCTTGGCTTTCCTGGTCTTCAGACACTCGGCGTGATTCATTTGGTCTCTATCGGGCGGCGAACCTGCAAGAAACAACAAGGATTAGAAGCCGAGCGGGAAGTAGAATAAGACACTCACCTCGAAGGACAGGACCGCCCGGGCCCCGAGACGAGCGTCGAAGGGTAGAAAAAGTCCAGGAACACGGGCGGTACCTATGCCTGCCCCAGAGAGTGCCTCGAAGGTCAGAAATCCGGCTATGGGACGGACGCCACCCTCCAACACCTTCTCCGCATCCAAAAGCAGATCGTCGGTCGGCTCCGGTGACTCAATCTTTGGGGGATACCCATTCCACCGGAGAGGGAGAGGAGGCCCGTCGTATCGAAGGAAGAAGAAGCGGTTCTTCCAGTCGTGGATGGACGAGGGGTAGTTCTTGAACAGCCGCCTCCCAGGACGTGCGGCCACGCTCAGATACCCGTCGGCATTCTGAGGAGTGACGCGGTAGAAATAATGGAAGAGCTCCAAAGTGGCATCGACCCCCGCAAGTTTGCAGCGCACCAAGAAGGCCGATATGAATCTGTAAGAATTTGGCATGAATTGCGCCGGAGCCACCTGGAAGCAGTGGAAGAACTCCACATAAAACGCATGAAGTGGAAACCGCAGCCCGGCTTCAACGGAATCCAGGTGGAGCATGATCATCCCCGGACGTCTCCTCATCACATGCTCAGCGCCTCTCACACTCCAGACGAACGGCGGAGGAAGGAAGGTGCGGATTTTATTGAGGGCCACACGGGAGAGGACTTGGTCGTGGTCAAGGGCGCTCCTAATCGGGCAGATGTGACGCTCCATATCCGTGGGGATGCCCAGATCATACACCTCCATATCAGAACCGGATTCGGCTTCCTCTCCAGAATCATAATCAGCAGGACGCTCATTCAGGGGGACCGCATCAATAACGTCCACTGCCTCATCGGCATCCCCACCCCTGGCGTCGCTCCCACTATCTTGAGACACATCATCCGGCTCGCCATCAGCCCGGATGGTCCCCACCGTCGTGGCCGAACCAGAGGTTCCGGAAACACTAGTTTTTCCCAGGGAGCGTGCATTAGCATTTTCAGAAGAGGAGCCCGAGGAGGAACCCGACGAACCGGAATCAGAACTTGAGGAAATCTCCATCGAAGTCATTCCGGCTAGAAATCAGAGTAAAGGAAAGAAGCAGAGGGGGGAAATTACCTTACAAAGGTATGGTTGGCCGAATTCAGGAAACTTGAAGAGCTGCGGAAAATCGAGAGCAAGAGAGCATAAATTGGGAACCCTAATCCAGAGGGCAAACCCAGCATTTATAGGGGAAACACCGATGGAGAAACCAACGAGGGGCTGACACGTGGCAAGGAGCGTATTCCGGCCCACGCGCTGTGCGTGGGATGGGAACGTAATGATGACACTTCCTCGGGAAAATGCGCCGCCGCAACATCAGCCGTCACCTCGTTTCCTGAACCGTCAACAGCTGTCAAGCACCATGGCCACGAGCGTACGTTTCCACCAAGATGCAATGAACACAAGTACCAAGATACGGACGTCTACTTCGGGGAGGTTCATACTTCCTTATGTCCTGCGCATGCTCAGAACATCAGAAGTGGGGGACTTGTGTTGGGTTAAGGGCCCAAGCCGAGGTCCGGCCCACTAACCCATTTTGCCAGACGAGCGTCCAGCTAGAAACTAGGCCAGCCCACAGGCCCATGTTCTTTAAGAATGGACGAACGTCTGGTGTTGGAGGACTCAGGCCCAGCAGCTCATTCCGATGAACGTCTATGCAGGGACAAGGAGCAGAGCCACGGGCCACCAGGGATGGCGACGAACGTCCCCAGAGCAAGCCTGTAGTCATCGGAGAAAACCCAGTGCACATGGTGAGTATCTAGCAAGGCCAGGAGACGAACAGCCAATATCCCTCAAGGGTCACTTGGAGCAATCCAACTCACTTCCCGGGTGGACGAACGTCCCCACTGATCCGGCGGGAAACCTAGATTCTGGCGGGAAGTGCATTTAATGCTAAAGATTTGGTAGTTGGGACACCAGCGGTCCACAGGCTGCCACGTCAGTACAGCCACCTGCCCATTGGCGGGTATAAATAGAAGCATTTATTTCATTGTAAAGGGTTGGCAACTTACTATTCTTAGCATACTAGCTCCAGCATTCTTACTTGAGCATTTTTAACTGCCTTGTAAGACGAACGGCCGACGTGCCCTTTTAGCAAGTAGGTTGTATTTAGGGGAGTTATTACGAAGTTAATAATACCTATTTACATTGCCTGCTATTACTTTTGTCTCCTGATCCATCTGATAGTTGTTGGGCTAGACATTCATACACTCACTCCACTCGAAACCTTTGGGCTTACGTGTTGGGTCCACGGGTTGAAGGAATAAACCTCAACAGTAGCCTTAGACTATTCATTCACTTGTTTCCTTGCTATCATTTGATGAATAAATTAGTTACTTGATTGAAAAAATATAAAAGTTTATATTTGGTGTAAATGTGATTAACTTATAAAAAATGTTATACTAGTATTATGAATGTTTTAAAGACATGTGATTAACTTATAAATATATGTGATATTATTTATTGATACAAAAAGAAAATGTTTCATGTAAATAAGTTTATATAAAATGGAAATTGTTGGTGATAAATCTGTAAGTCACGTTATACAACATATAAATTAGGAATAGTTATGATGTTATTCCTAATTGCATTATAATCCCAATCTTAAATGACTTGTTGATTTAATTGAAAGGTGTTGGGTTAAGGGCCCAAGCCGAGGTCCGGCCCACTAACCCATTTTGCCAGACGAGCGTCCAGCTAGAAACTAGGCCAGCCCACAGGCCCATGTTCTTTAAGGATGGACGAACGTCTGGTGTTGGAGGACTCAGGCCCAGCAGCTCATTCCGACGAACATCTATGCAGGGACAAGGAGCAGAGCCACGGGCCACCAGGGATGGCGACGAACGTCCCCAGAGCAAACCTGTAGTCATCGGAGAAAACCCAGTGCACATGGTGAGTATCTATCAAGGCCAGGAGACGAACAGCCAATATCCCTCAAGGGTCACTTGGAGCAATCCAACTCACTTCCCGGGTGGACGAACGTCCCCACTGATCCGGCGGGAAACCTAGATTCTGGCGGGAAGTGCATTTAATGCTAAAGATTTGGTAGTTGGGATACCAGCGGTCCACAGGCTGCCACGTCAGTACAGCCACCTGCCCATTGGCGGGTATAAATAGAAGCATTTATTTCATTGTAAAGGGTTGGCAACTTTCTATTCTTAGCATACTAGCTTCAGCATTCTTACTTGCAGCATTTCTGAGTGCCTTGTAAGACGAACGGCCGACGTGCCTTTTTAGCAAGTAGATTGTACTTAGGGGAGTTATTATGAAGTTAATAATACCTATTTACATTGCCTGCTATTTCTCTTGTTTTCCTGATCCATCTGAAAGTTGTTGGGCTAGATATCCAAACACTCCACTCGAAATCTTTGGGCTTACGTGTTGGGTCCAAGGGTTGAAGGAATAAACCTCAACACTGGCGCCGTCTGTGGGAAACTGAGCAAAAAGTTTCCAGAAACTCTCCCAAACAGCTACTAAGTCTACCTACAGCAAACACGATGTCAGGAAGCAACAACCAGCGTGATCTCTCCGAGCGTCTGGAATCAAGCCGCCGGAATCGCGGCCAGAACTCGGAACTATCCGCAACAATATGGACCTCCGGGGGGAACGGGGGTATCACTGACCTCATTCCTCTGGAGGCCAGGCAGGATCCTCGCCTCATGCGGGAACTCGCAGACACTATGCGTCGCTTGGCAGACGAGCGGGAGGCCCGAGACCGGGTGTACTCTACGAGTACCCAGCGAACGCCCCTCTCTCCCATACGCCGCATGCAGTCGTATGACGATACGACAGGATCCAGCGACCACCGACCCTCAGTCCACGAGCGGCTAGGTGGGGGTTCAGGCTCCCGTGGAACGGGAGGGCGAACCAGAGTCAGCATCGCTGCATCCAGAGCTCACACACCATCAGTCCCCCGCCAAATCCCGCGGGGAGACGAGACCCCGAGGATCAACACCGTTGGACGACGTTTCCAACGGCGAGGTGCGCAGATTTTTAGGCGGCCGCACGATGCTGTGGCCGCTCAGCACAATGCCGTCCCCGAAGCCGCGCCCCCTGTGTCCCCCGGAAGGGCCGCACAGGAGGCAAGGTTGGAGGCCATGGAAAGGCAGATAGCCGAGATGAATAGGCGGGCGGACGTTGGCTCGGCCACACCCTCTTTCTCCCTCACATCTCCCTTTACTCCACGGGTGATGAGCGTCGAGATTCCCCGGGACTGCAGGCCCCCGGGCAACTTGGTGTACAATGGGGCTGGCGATCCCAAGGCCCATCTGATAAGCTACCAAGGGAACCTGTCCATGCTGGGAGCATCAGACGAGGCCATCTGCAGATTGTTCTTCAGCACCCTCAGGGGGCCGGCGCAAGAATGGTTCGGCCAGTTGAGGCCAGGCACCATCGACTCATACGAACAGCTCTCCCAACCGTTCATGGCGCAATTTGCTGCCAGCACCACCCCCAGGAAGGACGTCACGGCTCTCGCCCACATCAAACAAGGGCGGGACGAACCGCTGGCTAGGTTCCTGGTAAGGTGGAGGGACGAGGTCCTACAGGTCGACGATCTGGACGAACGTCTGGCCACCAACATGTTCACCAGTGCGCTGGCCACAGGGGATCTATACCGGGACCTAAGGAGGAACCCCGGCACCAGCTACACCGAGGTTCTTGCTCGGGCCCAGAAGTATGCCTCCATTGAGGAGGAGATCAGGCAGCGGGACGGAGTTCCCGCGGCCCACCCACGGAAGATGGCGGACAGGCTCGGGCCCGGGCCGGGACCCGGGCCCTCCCCCCCAAACAAAAAGAAGAGGACAGACGGGGCGATGGTCCCCTGGAAGGCTCCGTCCGGGGATACTCAAGCACGGCCGGACGACCGCTATGTCCCATTGGCCTATCCAGTGAGCCAAATCTTTGAGGCCATCAAGGACAAGGGCCTCCTAACGGAACCCCAGGATATGAATAAACATATGGGGCACGACCAATCGGCCTACTGTGAATACCATCAGAGGACCGGCCACCTGACGGATAATTGCAGCCAATTAAAGAAAGCGATCGACGAGCTGATCCGTCAGGGGTACCTGGGCGAGTTCACCCAGCTGCTGAACAAAAACAGCCAGCAGAAGCCGAACTCAAGGCACAAGACATGGCGCCGCGACGATCGGCGCGAGGCAGAACCTCAGGACGTGGATTATCGAAGTGCAGATAAACGTCCGGAAGGATCCCTCGGCCCGAAGGGCAAGAAGAAGAAATTGGAAATCAAGGTGATCTTCGGGGGCGCTGAGACAGGGGATACACCCGCCGAGCGGAAAAAATTTGAGAGGTCACTCTATGTGGGTTCCGTATTAGCACCCCCCACCAAGCGCAATAGAGCCGAGGCAATTACCTTCGGCCCCGCTGACCTGCCAATGTCACCGGCGCCGCACAGAGACGAGCTGGTGATCAGCATGGACGTGAACGATGCTATCGTCCATCGCGTCCTCGTTGATACCGGGAGCAGTGTGAACGTCCTCTACTGGGAGGCTTTCGAAGGAATGAGGCTCCGGAGGGACATGCTGCACCCCCTACGCACCCCGCTGTCCGGCTTCACCGGGGATTGCATTGACGCTGAGGGCACCATCATTTTACCGGTAGAGGTCGGCGACGGCCCTCACACTGCCCGGGTCAGCATGACGTTCATCGTGGTCCGCCTGAAGTGCGCCCACAACGCCATTTTGGGCCGACCCGGCTTGGAAGACTTGGGGGCCATATGCTCCGTACGACATTCGTGCATCAAATTCCCCACCGACACTGGAGTGGGGGTGGCACGTACGGACCCACATATGGCCAGGGCCTGCTACACGAAGGCCATGGAGAAGCTCAACGAGCGGGAGGCTCGGGTCAACAGCATCTCCGAAAAGGCCAAGCAGGCCGACTTGGACGCTCATCTGGAACCAGCAACTCTGCTGGAGGAAATTGAACTCGACGATCCGACGGACAGGAAGGTGTCCATTGGTGCGGATCTAGAGCCAGAAATCAGGGCAGGGGTCATAGCCGTCCTCCGGAGGTTCAGGATCTTGTTCGCCAGAGGGCCGGAGGACATGCCGGGCATCGACCCCAACCTCATATGCCATAAACTCGCCGTGCGGTCGGATGCCAAGCCTATACAACAGAAGAAGAGATATATGGCGGCCGACCGACGTGATTTCATCAGGAAGGAAACAGCAACTCTCCTCAGCATCAAACATATCCGGCCAGTCATCCACGTGGAGTGGTTGGCCAACGTGGTTCTAGCCCCGAAGGGCGACACTTGGCGGATGTGTGTCGATTACTCGGACCTCAACAAAGCTTGTCCGATGGACCCTTACCCTGTCCCGAGGATCGACCTGCTGGTGGATGAGACAGCAGGCTGCGAGCTGCTCAGCTTCATGGACGCATTCAGGGGCTACCATCAGGTGTTCATGCACCCCGATGATGCCGAAAAAACGGCATTCGTTACGGCGGACGGCGTGTACTGCTACATCGTCATGCCTTTCGGCCTGAGGAACGCCATGGCTACTTTTCAGAGGATGATTGGGATGTTGTTCAAAGACGTACTTGGAAAGACAATGGAAGCTTACGTGGATGACATCCTGATCAAAAGCAAGAAAAAGGAGGACCATGTCCAGGACATGGAGAGGGTCTTCAGCATCATGGAGAAGGCCAGCATGAGGCTCAATCCGAAGAAGTGCGCCTTCGCCGTCAGGGGCGGCAAGTTCCTCGGCTACATGATGAGCGAGCGGGGGATCGAGCCTAACCCGGAGAAGGTGAAGGCGATTATGGACATGGAAGCCCCGAAGAACCTAAAAGACGTGCAGCGGCTCACCGGGCGTCTGGCGGCCCTGAGCAGATTCTTATCCAAGCTGGCTGATAAGGCGATTCCCTTTTTTCAGATCATGAAGAAGGCCAATCCCTTTCAATGGACCCCGGAGTGCCAAACTGCCTTCGAAGATTTCAAGGTATATCTCTCCTCTCCGCTCGTCCTCACCAAGGCAGACCCCGGGGAGAGATTATACATGTACTTGGCAGTAGCCGATCTGGCCGTGAGTGCCGTGCTGCTGAAGGAATCTGAAGGCGTCCAGCGGCCAATATACTTTGTAAGTAAGGCGCTGAACGGTCCCGAGACGAGGTACACACTGATGGAAAAGACGATCCTCGCCTTGATTGCATCCATCAAGCGCCTGGCACCGTATTTCCAAGCACACCCGGTGACTATCTACACAACGCAGCCTCTCGCCACAGTCCTCAGGAACCCAATGGCAAGCGGAAGGATAACGAAGTGGTCCTTGATGATCGGCCAGTATGACGTGGATTTCAAGCCAAGGCCGACGATCAAAGGGCAGGCCCTGGCGGACTTCATTGCGGAATGCACCGCGCGCACCGAGGACGGAACCCACGGCAGCAATGACCTCGACGACTGGTGGGAGATGTACACCGATGGGGCCTCAAGTGCGCGGGGCTGCGGCGGAGGGGCAGTGATCACTTCTCCCGAGGGTTTCAAAGCCTACTACTCTATGAAATTTGAGTTCAAGGTCACCAACAACGAGGCTGAGTACGAGGCACTTATCGCAGGGCTGAAATGCGCGAAAGCCCTCGGAGCAGCTCGTCTGAAGGTGAGAATGGACAGCCAGCTGGTGGTAACCCAGATGAATGGCACTGCTGAGACCCGGGAAGAGAGAATGAAGGTCTACAAAGAGCTGGCGGAGGAACAGACCGCACAATTTGAGCAGGTGGTGCTTGAGCAGGTATCGCGGGTGGAGAATGCAGAGGCGGACATTCTGTCAAAATTGAGCAACCCCCCAGCTGATGACCCGGCATCAAGCATCCCCCGACACATCAGAGGCTTCGTTAGGCAGGAGGTACTCCCAGCACCGGCAACGGACGTCATCCAGGTGGAGGTTATCTCCGTTGCCGAACCTAACTGGGCCAAGGAGATAGCAGATTATCTCAGAGATGGGACACTCCCTGAGCCTGAAGATGATGGCAGTACAGGAAGGGCTGCGTGGGTAAAGAGGCGTGCCCCCAACTTTGAACTCATTGATGGGCAACTTTACAAAAAGACGTTCGGCGGACCCTACCTTAGATGCCTCCCGCCGAGCCTAGCAGCGGCGGTAATCGAGGAAATACATGAAGGGATCTGCTCCAGCCACCAGGGCCCCCGAACCTTGGCCAGAAAAATCATCCTGCAGGGCTATTACTGGCCGACCATACAGCAAGATTGCTTCAACCACACGCGGAAGTGCGCAGTATGCCAGCAGTATGCACCTGTCCCTGGCCGCCCAGCGAGTTTCTACACCCCAATGACCATCGCGCTACCTTTTGCTAGGTGGGGCGTAGACCTGCTGGGCCCTCTGCCCACGGCTGCTGGTGGAAGGAAATTTGTCATTGTGGCGGTTGATTATTTCACAAAGTGGGTCGAGGCCGAACCGTTGGCCTCCATCACTGAATTCCAGTGCCAGAAGTTCGTCTGGCAGAACATCATCTGCCGCTTCGGGATCCCGGAGCAGATCATCACAGACAACGGTCGGCAGTTCGTCGGCAGAGGCTTTGAGGCATACTTGGCGAAGTGGGGCATCAGGCACTCTAAGGCCTCGGTGGCCTACCCGCAGGCCAACGGCCAAGTGGAGAACATGAACCGGACCATCATGGACGGGATCAAGAAGAAGTTGGAAGACTACACCTCCACCTGGCCGGAGCAGCTGAATTATGTCTTGTGGACGTACAGGACGACGCCAAGAACGGCGACTGGGGAAACCCCTTTTGCCTTGGCTTACGGATTCCAAGCTAAGGTACCGACGGAGGTACTGGTGCCTACCCATCGCACCAAGCACTTCCAGCCGGAGGACAACGAGATTAACCTACGAGCAGAGCTCCATTTCATCGAGGAACGGAGGGACCTAGCGGCTCGTCGCATGGAAGAGTATCACAGGGCCACCCAGAGATACTTCAACAAGGCCGTGAAATTCCGCGAAATAGAGGCCGGGGACCTCGTACTCAGGAAAAGAGAGAAGAGCAAACCGCTCGAAGGCGGCAAAATGGCGAAGAACTGGGAAGGACCTTACCGGATCATCAGAAGATATAACCAGGGGACGTTCCTCCTCCACACCATGGAGGGGAACCATGCCGGGATTTGGAACGTAGAGCACTTGAGAAAGTTCTATCAATAGTTAGGGGCTGTTGTCCTTGTATTATTCCCACTACCATGTAAAATGGCCGGACGTCGTCAATAATAAGGCCCCTGTTTTTTCTGAAATTCTGTTCTCACCAACGACCGATAAAGAAGGGAATCTCGATGCAGATAAACCTGTTCATCCTTGCGATGTCGGCGGACACCGAACGTCCCCACGAAGTAGGGACGCCGGTGGGACCAGGGACCAAGGATGAACGAAGCACCAGGGAATCTCGAGGTAGATAAACCTGTTCATCCTTGCGATGTCGGCGGACACCGAACGTCCCCACGAAGTAGGGACGCCGGTGGGACCAGGGACCAAGGATGAACGAAGCACCAGGGAATCTCGAGGTAGATAAACCTGTTCCTCCTTGCGATGTCGGCGGACACCGGACGTCTCCTCGAAGTAGGGACGCCGGTGGGACCAGGGACCAAGGACGAACGAAGCACCAGGGAATCTCGATGTAGATAAACCTGTTCCTCCTTGTGATGTCGGCGGACACCGGACGTCTCCTCGAAGTAGGGACGCCGGTGGGACCAGGGACCAAGGACGGACGAAGCACCAGGGAATCTCGATATAGATAAACCTGTTCCTCCTTGCGATGTCGGCGGACACCGGACGTCTCCTCGAAGTAGGGACGCCGGCGGGACCAGGGACCAAGGACGAACGAAGAGTATGGATTGCCTCCACCAAAAAAAAAAAAAAAAAAAAAAAAAAAAAACAAAAAAAAAAATGGGGAGAAGAGGAGAGGAGCTCCTATGTAGAAGGGAATCTTGCCCGGGTGTGCCAGATCTTCTCCAACCGCCGAAGACGAACGCCTCTCGGTGTAGAGGTTAGTAGAGACGCGGAGGGGGCTAGACGAACCAAGGGAGCCTGCCAAGATAAACCTGTTTATCCCACAAATGACCATGGATCGATGGACGTGGGGTAACAAAGTCGGGGACCCGTGAGGGTAGACCTGTTCGTCCCTGCGAGTCCTTGGGTACCGAACGTCCTCTTCGAAGCAAGAGACGTCGGTAAGGCTAAAAGGACCACGGACGAACGAAAAGAGGGGAATCTCGATGTAGATAAACCCGTTCATCCTTGCGATGTCGGCGGACACCGAACGTCTCCTCGAAGTAGGGACGCCGGTGGGACCAGGGACCAAGGACGAACGAAGACTAAAAGACTCCAAAAAAAAAAAAAAAAAAAAAAAAAAAAAAGCCGGAAGAGCAAGGAGCAAAGAATGATTCTTTTATTCTTCGGTACTATTGGCCGGGAGATTACAAGACAATGAAAATAATGGGAAAAATTGTACAAGTACAAGGTCATGAACGGAGAATCACTTCTGATCGACGTCCGGAGCTGGAACCTTGGAAAGAGCCTGCTTGCATTCTTCACTGGCTCTGGCTTCCGCCTGCTCCTTCAGCAGCTCGAGGGCCCCTGCATGAGCGTCTGCCATCAAGACGTCAAAACCAGCCGCCTCCGGATCGAAGGGAGCCCCAAAGTGACGCTCGAACGTCGGGAGATTCTCCACTACTAGCCCAACCATACCTTTGCGGTAGGTGTCATCGGCGAGATCGTCAAGGAAACGACGTCCGGTGGGGGTGGCCTGGAGCAATTTAACCCCATCCTGGTAGGCATCCGGGCAGGTGGCCAGGAACTCGCCAACGAGCCGCGGGAGGAACTTCATAGCCATGGTGTGGATGGCGCCAGTATAAGCCTTGGATTTCTGAAAGGCAATGGAACCAGACTCCTTGATCTTGGCAACATCGGCCTCATAAATAGGGACATGGTTGTCCACGCCCGTCTGGCGGAGTTCCACCTTGGCCTGCTCCACGGCCCACATCCGGCTGCGAAGATCCACGAGCTCGGCCTCCTGCTTCTTGAGGAGCTCCTTCTGAGAGGCATTCTCCTGGACGAGCTTATCGTAGGCATCGGCTTTCTCTTGAAGAGTGCCGGCCCTGCCTTTTGCATTCCTCAGAAGGGCGTCGCTTTCGGCCCGGACCCTGGCCATTTCCCTGCCTTGATGCTCGAAGGCCATCCGGGCCCTGTGGAAGTAGAGCCCGGCTTTATCCAAAGTGCTCTGACCACACTCCAGAAGGTCCTCGGGTGCCTCCTGAGCAGCGAAGTCCTGGGGGACCTTGAGATTCAGGCCGCACCATATAGAGGATGCTGTTTGACCAAAGAGCATCATTGACTCCTTGCGCGGACCAACCCCGGAGAACTCAATCAAACCAAGGGAGGACCCATTGGCTTGTGGGGGCGAAGGAGGACGAGCATCGTCAAAACCCTTAGCGACCTGGGCATCATCATCCCGGAGACGACGAACATCAGAAGTTCGTGGGGGAGAAGGACGGGACTTGCCCCGAGAGACAGGCTTCCGCTTAAGGGGGCTCCCGGGCTCACCATCAGAGTCGTCGGCTACTATGATGGCCTTGGAGGTTGTACCCTCGACGCGCGGCCTCTTGGAGACGCCGGCGCCCAAATCATCCTCAGTCCGGGCCCTGATCACCCGAGTTTCAACCTTGGGGACGAGCGGCTTCCCGGGCTTGTCATGCCCCTTGTGCCCACGACCGGCGGCAGACGGAGCGGTATTATCTCGGCGCATGATGGACGTGGGTGGGAAAACTCCTGCATAGAGGGGATCAAGACGTTCAGAACCATAACAGCGAAGAGAGGTTAAAACAATACAAGTACAAACGGACGCACCTAATCCAGCCTGAGCTTTGAAGGGCTCGGCCACCAGCAACCGGAGGTTCTGGATGCCAAGTCCGGCTATGCGCTTGGCATATCCAAGCTCCTCGTCCGTCATGGGCGGCGGGATCGTCTTCACAGGGTAGGCATTCCACCGATCAGAGAATGGCATCGGTGAGCCTACTCCGGCCAGGAAGAAGCGCTCTTCCCAACCGTCTGGGTTCCCAGCGTTGTTCGAGAACAGAACCATGGACGGACGGGCAGTCAGGGTCAAATACCCTGTACGTCCGAAGGTGGACAGACGAAAGAAGTGGTGCAGCAGGTCCGCGGTGGGGGTCACACCGACGCTGTGGCATCTAATGATGAAGCCAGCGATTATCCGATAAGCGGCGGGGACGAGCTGCGCAGGAACAATCTCAATGTAACACCCCGGCCCCACCGGACCCGAGATAGTTACTTTGGACCAATAGTACTGTCCTCACAAACCACCACAAGCCTTTACCGCGCACTTTGTCCTCACTCGTGCGCGCCCTGAGAAACTTCCCAGGGGGTCACCCATCCCAAGACTACTCCCGTGCAAGCACGCTTAACTTTGGAGTTCTTGGGGATGAGCTCCCTTAAAAGGAGATGCATCTTGTTGGTATGAGTAGTACTATTAATCCTCTTATATTAATCTCGGGTATTACAATCACCCCCACTTAGGATCGCAACGTCCTCGTTGCGCCCTTAAACCAATCTCAATCAAATCCCAGAAACTTTTCCCCTGCTAGGTGTCTGCCCGATATCCAACGGATCAGCACACTGTCGCAGGGTTGCTCTGATACCATTTGTAACACCCCGGCCCCACCGGACCCGAGATAGTTACTTTGGACCAATAGTACTGTCCTCACAAACCACCACAAGCCTTTACCGCGCACTTTGTCCTCACTCGTGCGCGCCCTGAGAAACTTCCCAGGGGGTCACCCATCCCAAGACTACTCCCGTGCAAGCACGCTTAACTTTGGAGTTCTTGGGGATGAGCTCCCTTAAAAGGAGATGCATCTTGTTGGTATGAGTAGTACTATTAATCCTCTTATATTAATCTCGGGTATTACACTCAAGGGCCCTGAAAAGTTCCAAGTGGAAGCTGTGCAGGGGGAAGTTCAGCCCGGCTATCACCGAATCTAGGTGGACCACCACATAGCCGGGCAGGTGGCGCATGGGGTTTCGTAGACGCCGATCGTCGTAGGTCCTTGGGGGATAAAACCATTGGCTGATCAGCCGCTTGTCCGCGTTCGTCAGGCGTTGAACTTGACGTTGATAGGCACTAGTTGTTAGTGCCTAAAGTGTACATTTTTATTATCGTTTGTAATATTTATTTACTAGTATTATGCAAGTTTGTAGTCGTTAGTTTACATTTGATTGTAATCGTATTTTTAGCATTTTATTGTTTGTTGTAAGTTATAGTTAGTTGAGCTATAAGTTTAGGATAGATTTGGAAGCAAGAAGGATGGAAAAACCCGAGTTTTATGTAAAACCCGGTCGGGTATGGACTTTACCCGGCCGGGTATGAAGTGACAAAGGAAGTTGCTACGAAATTAGCAAATACCCGGTCGGGTATTCCCTATACCCGGTCGGGTATGAAGTGATTTCGGGCAAACGAACGTGCAGAAGAACACCAGAACATGGGAAAAAGATTTGATTTGACAAATACCCGGTCGGGTATAGAAAATACCCGGCCGGGTATCCGGCATTAGGTGTTGAAAACACCTATAAATAACCCCATTTTCCTTCACTTTTAAACATCCCTTCTTCCATACTCTTAAGCTCAGTTTAGAATAGTATTTCTTTTATATTTTTATAGCATGTTTAGTCTCCAAATGAGGAGCTAAACTCTTCCATCTTGGTTTTGCTACTTTGAAGCTTAATGAAATTGTAAGTTGTGAGTTATTCCCTTTAATCTTCTTCCTTGAATATTAATTCTTCCTTTAAATACTATTTCTATATCAATGTTGGGGAGTGTTACTAAGATGACAATTAGTTAACATCTTGACATTAATTATAGTAATAGCTATTTCTTCCTCTATGTTAATATTGGGGAGTGTTACTAAGATGACAATTAGTTAACATCTTGATATTAACTATAGTAGGATTCATCTTCTTTAATATTCTTCCTTGAATATTAATTAATTCCTATTCATATTTCATATTAATATTTTGAACATTACTTAAAGGATCAACTAGTTTTGTTTCATATATTAATTATTACTAGAATCAATCGGTTAATACGCTTGTTATTAATTCGGTTCTTTCAATAGTAGTAAACTTGGGTTATTAATGCATGCTTCTCATGGTTAATAAACCAAGGGGAATTAATTATATTGATTAAACCAATAAACCGCTTGTGTTGAGGTTATCAATCTCAATCGTTTTCATCTTGATTTTATTGCTACTATCGAGTTAATATACGACGCTTGTTCTATATTGACTCGGTAGTAAGTTTTATTAATGAACGCGTCTCGTTATTAATAACTACCCTCGATGAACTGGATATACTCCTCGATTGAGTATTCGAGAGGAAGATAGTTAAAGATATAACCGGGATCGACGAACATTTCATTAAGTGGATAAAAGCAAAGCCAAGTCTCCTTCTCATTAATTAAACCACATAACTCGTTCATCTTTGTGTTTTAATATTCTTAAAAGTTCTTCAAGAACAAATCTAAAAACCCCCCTTATTACTAGTTATAAAAAGAGAAGTATTCCTTTCCCTGTGGATACGAACCTTACTTCATTATACTACGTATAATTGTTGTATTGTATTATTATTTTGAGTGCACACCGCGACAAAGTGCACGTCAAATTTGGCGCCGTTGCCGGGGAAAGGCAATTATTTTTCTTTTTATTTTATTTCAAGAAAAATCAAAAAAATTAAATAAACAAAATATAAAGAGTTCTTACTTTTTCTATTTCTGAGCTTGCATGAGTATATGGTAAAAACCCGTTCTATAAACGAGCTTACTTACCAAACAAACCCCGAAGTGTCATTCCACATGGCTCTCGAGACAAGGACCTTGAGGGAGCTCACAGCTCCAAACTTGAATCAACAACCATTATGTATTACCTTTCCTACTCTTGATGAAGGTAATACATTTGAGCTGAAATCTGGGCTCATACATTTATTGCCATCTTTCCATGGCATGAGAGGAGAAGATCCGAATAAACATCTTTCGGAGTTCCACATCGTTTGCACAAGCATGTGCCCAAACGGTGCCACAGAAGAGCAAATAAAACTGAGAGCCTTCCCATTCTCCTTGAAAGATACCGCGAAGGATTGGCTTTTCTATCTTCCTTCGGGAAGCATCAACACATGGGCACAAATGAAGAAGTGCTTCCTCGATAGGTATTATCCTGCTTCCATCTCATCTTCTCTCAAAAAGCAAATAAGCAACATCGAGCAAAAGGATGATGAATCCTTATATGAATTTTGGGAGAGATTTAAGAAGTTATGTGCTAGCTGTCCCTATCATGGCTATTCAGAACAAGACCTCATCTTATACTTTTATGATGGTCTTGTTGATGATGATAGAAGAATGGTGAACGCCGCTTGTGGAGGCGGCATTGTTAATAAAACTCCTTCACAAGCTATAAATCTTATCTCGGAATTGGCCGAGAACTCACGGCAAATCGGTCGCAGATCCTCAACTCGTAGAGTTGCCGCTGCAGAATCAACATCATCACTGGAGAGTCAAGTTGCCGGCTTGACTTCTTTGGTTAAGGATTTCCTCTTAAAATCCAAGACCCAAGAAGTCAAGGTCTGCGGCATTTGTACACAACAGGGACACCCCACGGACTCATGCCCAACTCTTCAAGAAGACAATCTAGAGCAAGTCAATGCCTTGGGTTTCCAAGGACATCAACAAAGGAGGTACGACCCATTCTCCAACTCTTACAACCAAGGATTGAGGGATCATCCGAACTTGAGGTATGGAAACCCCCAACAATCCAACCCATCTTCTCAATCATCTTTTAACAATCAAGGCTCAAACTCTCAACCTAATATGTCAACTGATGACATGATACGAGCTTTGACTTCAAACATGGTCACCATGCAACAAAGCATGGGACAATTTCAACAAACCATGATACAATTCCAACATGAGACAAAGTCAAGCATTAAAAATTTGGAAACTCAAGTTAGCCAAATTTCAAATGCCGTAAGCCGACTTGAAGCAAAGGACTCAGGTAAACTCCCATCTCAAACGGAGCAAAACCCGAGACAACATGTGAATGCAATTATGTTGAAGGAAGTAGAAAAGGACGATCAAGAGATTGAGGTGGTCGATCATGAAGGGGAAGCTCATTCAGAGGAGGAAATCAAAAAGGCAAAACTCCCTCCACTTTCATCATATGAACCACTTCCTCCATTCCCCGAAGCACTGAAGGACACAAGAAAGCTGAAGAATGATTGGGACCTCTACGAGACCTTCGCCGATTCTGAGGTAAACATCCCACTCTTTAAACTGATCAAAAGTGTTCCCCGTTATGCAAAGTTCTTAAAGGAACTATGCACAATGAAAAAGAAAAATAAACTGGAAGGGAAACAAAAAGTTGAGGTTAGTGAACGTGTCTCGGCCATTTTTCAAAAGAAACTTCCCAAAAAATGTAGCGACCCGGGCATGTTCACCATTCCTTGCAAAATAGGGGACACCAATTTTTCTAAGGCCTTGTTGGATTTAGGAGCATCAATAAATGTCATTCCTTATTCCTTGTATAAATCCTTACAACTCGGCCCACTACAGCAAACTGGTGTAGTGATTCAACTGGCGGATCGGTCTAATACTTACCCGAAGGGTGTAGTAGAAGATGTGCTAGTAGAAGTAAAAAATTTGGTTTTCCCTGTTGATTTCTATGTTCTTGAAATGGGGGATGATAACCAAACAACACCCATTCTCTTGGGAAGGCCTTTTCTGAAAACCGCCAAAACAAAAATTGATGTGTCTAGTGGTTCATTAACAATAGAATTTGATAACCAAAAAGTAGAATTCAACATCTTTGATTCTACTAAAAAACAAATTAAAAATCAATCCCTCTGTTCTTTAAATGTTTTTGAACCACCAACACTGAATATTTTTGTTGAAGAAGAACCAAAAAAATCTATTTTGAAAGGAAAATCACCTACTATTGAGGTGGTAACAAGGAAGAAAATTCGACCTTACTGGAAAAGGCCGAAAAAGAAAGTTGAAACGTGTCGCAACATGGCCTTTGAAAATGAAACAAGAGATACTCACGATCCCACTTAAAACAGAAAATAAAATAAAAACAACGTCGTGCCACGACATTAAATCAAGCGCTTCTTGGGAGGCAACCCAATTTTTGCATTCTGTTTATTGTTATTTTATTTAAATTGTGGGAAAATTTCTTTTCAAAAAAAAAAAAAAAAAAAAAGAAAAAAAAAAAGATGAAAACTGGGCTGAAACCCGGCCGGGTATCATAGCCACCCGGTCGGGTTCCTTGAACAAAAACAAAATACCCGGGCAACACACCCAGCCGGGTAAAGAAGCTGAAAGAATTGAAAAAATCATAAAACCCGACCGGGTATTCCTAAAACCCGACCGGGTTTTTCGGCTAAAAAGCCCCTGCTACTGTCTGTCTTGGAAACCCACTCGGGTAAAACCAATACCCGGCCGGGTTTACGGGATTTCCCCAAAAACAAAAGCCCGATCAAACCAAAAATTCAACCTATCTTCCTCATTGAGCTCGAGCTTCCCACCCCAAACCTCCATAGCCACACTCCAAAAGCTTCAATACACCTTCCATACTCTACCAAAAACCTAAATAAACACCATATTCTTCCTCCCCACATCATCCCCTCCATTTCTACACCCACCATATCACCCAAACCCCCAAAATCCCCAAATCCGAAAAACCCTACCCAAATCCCCTAAGGTGTGATTTTGCTCGAAATATCCCAATCTAAACCCAATTTCTTGTTCTCTCCATCATCCTCTACACCTCCACACCCTCAAAAACACCCAAAACCCAAAAATCCGAATTTTTTGGTACTTCTCCAAGTCAAGCTCGAAATTTCTTCACTAATCTCAAGCAAAGGGAAAATCATGGCTCCAAAAAGGACTAGAGCATCTTCCTCCAACTCAAATGCTCCAATTCCACGAGTTCCGGGGTATGAGAGCATCGAATTCACCTCTAGGTCTCATCACAAGAAATTCCTCAACCAACTCAACCGAGAGGTATATCCCACCCGATTTCTTTGTCATGAAGCACTGAGAGCATTGATGTTGTATGATATGATGCTAGAATTGTGCAACAACATAGGACTTACTACACTGTTCAATATGTCCTATAATATCTACAAAAGAATTGTGTATGAGTTCCTAGCCTCTGTTGAATTTACTGATAACGATGAGGACACCTATGAGAGCAAACTCACGTTTCGGTATAACAACATACCAAGAACCTTAACGAAACGTGAGTTTGCCGAGCTATTTGGTTTACCAGTTTTAGGTGTGGAGGAAAGAAAAGCAAGAAGTGATAAAACAATTGTGCATGATTTGTGGCGAAGAATGACAGGGGTTAGAGTCTTTAAATCCTCACATATGCATGTTACACATGTTCAACACCCTGCCCTTCGAATTGCACTAAAATGGTTTGGGTATAATATCTTTGGGAAGCCAAATAATCATCAAACAAGGATTAGTGAATTGGCCATTCTTGCTATGGGTATCTTTCCAGAAGCTCCTAGATTAGATGTTGCTTCATGTTTATGGGAACATCTAAAAACACAATGTGAAGCTATGGGTGAAATTTTCATAGGAGGGTACATACACCATATTTGTACTAAATTTGGCTATCATGCGAATAGAGAAGTAGAAGCATGGCATTTCCTTAATCTTGACTTTCTGCTCACTGCCCATGATTTGAGTCACTCCCACACTATTGGGACCACGACATTTTACCATTGGACCATACACCCCTCACCCACACAAGTTTTTACAATCCCCTCCGACGAACTCCCCAACATTTTTAACCATCAACTCGGGGATAGGAGACACCTTTGCTTACCCGGAACCACCCCTGACCACTATCTTAATGAAATCCCTCAACTTGATCCCCCACCCATCCCCAGCCCACCACAAGACCAACCACAAGCCGACCCCCAACACCCTCAATATAGTTCATTTGAGCAACAGATGCTCCACAGCATGAGTGCCCTAAACCTCAACTACACCCAATTTCGGGAGGAATTTGGACTGTTTCGCACTGAGCACAGGCAGAGTATAGAGCGATTGGAGGAGCAAATACAAGATCAGCGGCAGCAATACGACAACGACCGTCGGAGGTATGAAGAGGATCACAGGATGACCTACGGCCCTATATACTCTTACATTGCACATCAAGGTTCCTTTTCTTCTATGGCCACCCCTCCCCCACCACCCTCTTGGTATGACCCCACAGCATGGGGTACTTTTGGTGGATCGACCTCAGGTGGGGGAGGCGGTGATGGCGGATACGGCGGCGGCTCAGACACAAACGACGATGAGTATCCATATGCGGGTGGTTTTCATGACAGATATTATGGCCAGGGTGGATTCTTTGATGGAGGAGATGCTGGCGGGCACTAGGGACAGTGCCATGAACTAGCTGGGGGGGAGAACTATTCTGGTACACTCCCATTTCATACTCTTTATTCTTTCCTTTAAAAAAAAAAAAAACAAAAAAAAAAAAAACACAAAACAAAGCTTGTTAGGTTGAAAACCCAAAAGGGCAACTTAAGCAAAACAAAAGCAAAAAGAAGAGTGAGTTGGTGAGAATAAAAAAGGGAAATGTGGGAAGCTGGGATGAAAACCCGAAAGGGCACCTAGGCAAAATGAGAGAATGAGAGAAAGTATTTTCTTTTATCTTTGCAGGATCCTAAGGGCATATACATGAGGAAGCAAAAGAAGAGAAATCTAATGGTGTTGAAGACCTTTTTATGTGTTTTTGATCATTGAAACATTTTTATGTTGATTTTCAAAAAACACTTGTGAATGGTTGTGATTGCTACTATTGTTGGTTCGGAAACTTCATGGACAGGATTTGTTTTACTCGAGACGAGTAAAAGTTCAAGTGTGGGGATGTTTGATAGGCACTAGTTGTTAGTGCCTAAAGTGTACATTTTTATTATCGTTTGTAATATTTATTTACTAGTATTATGCAAGTTTGTAGTCGTTAGTTTACATTTGATTGTAATCGTATTTTTAGCATTTTATTGTTTGTTGTAAGTTATAGTTAGTTGAGCTATAAGTTTAGGATAGTTTTGGAAGCAAGAAGGATGGAAAAACCCGAGTTTTATGTAAAACCCGGTCGGGTATGGACTTTACCCGGCCGGGTATGAAGTGACAAAGGAAGTTGCTACGAAATTAGCAAATACCCGGTCGGGTATTCCCTATACCCGGTCGGGTATGAAGTGATTTCGGGCAAACGAACGTGCAGAAGAACACCAGAACATGGGAAAAAGATTTGATTTGACAAATACCCGGTCGGGTATAGAAAATACCCGGCCGGGTATCCGGCATTAGGTGTTGAAAACACCTATAAATAACCCCATTTTCCTTCACTTTTAAACATCCCTTCTTCCATACTCTTAAGCTCAGTTTAGAATAGTATTTCTTTTATATTTTTATAGCATGTTTAGTCTCCAAATGAGGAGCTAAACTCTTCCATCTTGGTTTTGCTACTTTGAAGCTTAATGAAATTGTAAGTTGTGAGTTATTCCCTTTAATCTTCTTCCTTGAATATTAATTCTTCCTTTAAATACTATTTCTATATCAATGTTGGGGAGTGTTACTAAGATGACAATTAGTTAACATCTTGACATTAATTATAGTAATAGCTATTTCTTCCTCTATGTTAATATTGGGGAGTGTTACTAAGATGACAATTAGTTAACATCTTGATATTAACTATAGTAGGATTCATCTTCTTTAATATTCTTCCTTGAATATTAATTAATTCCTATTCATATTTCATATTAATATTTTGAACATTACTTAAAGGATCAACTAGTTTTGTTTCATATATTAATTATTACTAGAATCAATCGGTTAATACGCTTGTTATTAATTCGGTTCTTTCAATAGTAGTAAACTTGGGTTATTAATGCATGCTTCTCATGGTTAATAAACCAAGGGGAATTAATTATATTGATTAAACCAATAAACCGCTTGTGTTGAGGTTATCAATCTCAATCGTTTTCATCTTGATTTTATTGCTACTATCGAGTTAATATACGACGCTTGTTCTATATTGACTCGGTAGTAAGTTTTATTAATGAACGCGTCTCGTTATTAATAACTACCCTCGATGAACTGGATATACTCCTCGATTGAGTATTCGAGAGGAAGATAGTTAAAGATATAACCGGGATCGACGAACATTTCATTAAGTGGATAAAAGCAAAGCCAAGTCTCCTTCTCATTAATTAAACCACATAACTCGTTCATCTTTGTGTTTTAATATTCTTAAAAGTTCTTCAAGAACAAATCTAAAAACCCCCCTTATTACTAGTTATAAAAAGAGAAGTATTCCTTTCCCTGTGGATACGAACCTTACTTCATTATACTACGTATAATTGTTGTATTGTATTATTATTTTGAGTGCACACCGCGACAAAGTGCACGTCACCGGACGCATGAGAAGTTAAGGCTGTAACGGGGAGGCCGGGGTGGCATTCCCCGCTCATAATACTCCAGGTCATCACCGGAAGAACATCCATCGTCAAAGCGACTTTCGGAAGACATGTCAACGAACGGTACCTTTGGGGTTCGAGATTTCCGATCTTGGTATTTGAGAAATCTAGAGAGAGAAAACAATTGAGCAGCGTAAGGAGAAATGTGAGTGGATCACTTGGGCCCTGGGTATTTATAGGCAACACCGCAGAATTGCCCCAACCGAAGCGGGACACGCGGCACCTGGGTACCGCTACCTACCACGGTATTTAAGGCGTCTCGATTTTGTCGCCGCATAACCATCACAAGACATCCGGGTCCGTGCCACGGACGTCCCTTGAGGAGGGCTCACCGGCTCCGAGGAATTTGGAGACATTCGCCTTCCATTGCTTCCGTAATCCCCCGGCTGACCCTAGCGTTGGCGGCTGATGAGGGCACACGCATCAACCGGCTACGTCCGTCTTGCGGTACTCCAGTTTTCACGTCACGCAACTGTAGACGAGCGTCGTCACCAAGCGCTGTTTCAGTGAAATACACCCGTACGTCCATACTCGAGACGCATACTGACAAGACAGCTACCGACGAACGTCTTCCCATTGTCAAGATACCGCGTGGGCGGTAAAGATGTGTCGAGGCGCCGGAATGATTCCTTATACTACAAACAATGGACACAAAAAGGATGGAGGAAGAATCACGTCCATTAGCGGTGCACGGAGGATGAACGTCGCCTTTCCACACTTCATGACAGATGAACACGCAGAACAGACGAACGTCCCGCGCTTTGAATGTTCATATCACGCGACGACGGACGGACATCGTTATCAAGTGCTGGTGCTGAGAAATACGTTCCTATGTCTACACTTCGAGCATGCACCATAAACCGCTGACGAGCGTCGCTCCATTGTCAGAACACGTTGAGTACGTACGGATGTTTGACTTCGGGACGCTTTTTGCCTGGAAACAAGTAGAGGTCAGATACGAACGCCCTCTCGGACTCTGACCTTGCTACAAGGCGTGTCGGGCCGCCGAAAGGGTTTTCCATACAACGAAGGACAAAGGGAATGAAAATAACAAGGCAGAAATCATGAACATAGAACAATTGTGGACAAAAAGACGTCTGTATTCCTCGGCACTTACGGCCGGACATTACAATAGCTGGAATGGAAAAATGTAAATGACATTATACAAAGAAAGGGGACCCTGGGCGGCTGCTGCCCTTGTTCGGCTCCTCCTCCTCTTCCTCAGGCTCGGGGGTCGGCGGCTCTGGAATCTCCCCCCTGGCCTTGGCCTCCTCCCGGCGCTGATCCCTCCTCAGTTTCCCTAGCGCCTGGATTAGGAGATCGTCATCCGTGTTGGCCGCCAAGTCAAAATCGGGCTCCAGCAGCTTGGCGAATGTGGGTAGGGTGGCCTTTACCCCTTCATTGTAGCCGGCGGCGAAGGTGCTGTCGCCGACCTCATATAGGAACTTGCGAGACAGGGGAGAGCCCTCAAGGATCCGGACGCCGCGGGCCAGGCGCTGGCGGGGCGGAATCTTCTCCAGAGCTGCGGCGAACAAATCGGCGAAGACCCCGGCGCAGTAGTCCTTGGCGGAGTCCATAAACTCCCCAGTGTTCCGATAGCCGGAGGTGTCAACCAACCACTCCGGAGTGGCATCCTTGGCGGCAGGGAGCACCGGAACAAGCTTAAAACCGGCTCTTTCAAGGCCGGCCAACTGGCTGTGAGACTCAGCCTGCAGGGCGGCAATCTCCCTCCCCTTGGCTGCGGCCTCCGCCTCAGCTCGACGGGCGGCCTCCCGTGCCGCAGCGACGGCCGCATCAGCTTTAGCCTCGGCCTCCTTCAGATCGGCCTCCCTGGCAGCTTCAGCCTGAAGGACTAGGAGCCCCGACTGGATGACAGAAGGGAAGAATGATTAGGGATGAACGTCAGGGAAAAAATATATGTGCTCAGATCTAGCAGGGAGGAATTACCTGAAGAGCGGCTGCCAGCGCAGCGCTTGTCGCCTCGGACGACGAACGGCGGGGCAGCTCGAGACCGGCCTTGAGGGCCATCTCCCTCCAAAGTTCTTCCGCCGGGCGGCTCAAAGGCAGGGACCCGGCATCTTCAAACAGGGGGCCAGTGGAGCCTGCCTCGCGGCCCCGCTTTTGTTTCTTCTCAGGGACCTTCTCTGTCCCCTTCTGAGGAGCCGTCTTCGTGGGGACGACCGGCGGCGGAAGGGCGGCTTCGAGAGCAGGGGCCCCGGAACCCTGGGCCAGCATAGTGGCGATTAAATGTTGCTCACCCTCGGCGGTTCGCCTGGCAGCATCAGAGGCCGAGGAGTTGGACTCCGAGGCAGGGGTGTTTTTGGCTTTCGCCATCGCAGCTTTAGCCGCGGCCGCCTTGGCTTTCCTGGTCTTCAGACACTCGGCGTGGTTCATTTGGTCTCTATCGGGCGGTGGACCTGCAAGAAACAACAAGGATTAGAAGCCGAGCGGGAAGTAGAATAAGACACTCACCTCGAAGGACAGGACCGCCCGGGCCCCGAGACGAGCGTCGAAGGGTAGAAAAAGTCCAGGAACACGGGCGGTACCTATGCCTGCCCCAGAGAGTGCCTCGAAGGTCAAAAATCCGGCTATGGGACGGACGCCACCCTCCAACACCTTCTCCGCATCCAAAAGCAGATCGCCGGTCGGCTCCGGTGACTCAATCTTTGGGGGATACCCATTCCACCGGAGAGGGAGAGGAGGCCCGTCGTATCGGAGGAAGAAGAAGCGGTTCTTCCAGTCGTGGATGGACGAGGGGTAGTTCTTGAACAGCCGCCTCCCAGGACGTGCGGCCACGCTCAGATACCCGTCGGCATTCTGAGGAGTGACGCGGTAGAAATAATGGAAGAGCTCCAAGGTGGCATCGACCCCCGCAAGTTTGCAGCGCACCAAGAAGGCCGATATGAATCTGTAAGAATTTGGCATGAATTGCGCCGGAGCCACCTGGAAGCAGTGGAAGAACTCCACATAAAACGCATGAAGTGGAAACCGCAGCCCGGCTTCAACAGAATCCAGGTGGAGCATGATCATCCCCGGACGTCTCCTCATCACATGCTCAGCGCCTCTCACACTCCAGACGAACGGCGGAGGAAGGAAGGTGCGGATTTTATTGAGGGCCACACGGGAGAGGACTTGGTCGTGGTCAAGGGCGCTCCTAATCGGGCAGATGTGACGCTCCATATCCGTGGGGATGCCCAGATCATACACCTCCATATCAGAACCGGATTCGGCTTCCTCTCCGGAATCATAATCAGCGGGACGCTCATTCAGGGGGACCGCATCAATAACGTACACTGCCTCATCGGCATCCCCACCCCTGGCGTCGCTCCCACTATCTTGAGACACATCATCCGGCTCGCCATCAGCCCGGATGGTCCCCACCGTCGTGGCCGAACCAGAGGTTCCGGAAACACTAGTTTTTCCCAGGGAGCGTGCATTAGCATTTTCAGAAGAGGAGCCCGAGGAGGAACCCGACGAACCGGAATCAGAACTTGAGGAAATCTCCATCGAAGTCATTCCGGCTAGAAATCAGAGTAAAGGAAAGAAGCAGAGGGGGGAAATTACCTTACAAAGGTATGGTTGGCCGAATTCAGGAAACTTGAAGAGCTGCGGAAAATCGAGAGCAAGAGAACAGAAATTGGGAACCCTAATTCAGAGGGCAAACCCAGCATTTATAGGGGAAACACCGAAGGAGAAACCAACGAGGGGCTGACACGTGGCAAGGAGCGTATTCCGGCCCACGCGCTGTGCGTGGGATGGGAACGTAATGATGACACTTCCTCGGGAAAATGCGCCGCCGCAACATCAGCCGTCACCTCGTTTCCTGAACCGTCAACAGCTGTCAAGCACCATGGCCACGAGCGTACGTTTCCACCAAGATGCAATGAACACAAGTGCCAAGATACGGACGTCTACTTCGGGGAGGTTCATACTTCCTTATGTCCTGCGCATGCTCAGAACATCAGAAGTGGGGGACTTGTGTTGGGTTAAGGGCCCAAGCCGAGGTCCGGCCCACTAACCCATTTTGCCAGACGAGCGTCCAGCTAGAAACTAGGCCAGCCCACAGGCCCATTGATAAGTCCGTATTTAGACACGTATTTGATGCGTGTTGGGATTGGATTTTGATGGTTTTCCTAGATTTAAGTTGTTGCAAGTCTTAATTTTAGCTCAAGTTATGTTTAACATGCGTTGGTTCAAGTTTTGTTGCATTTGGAGTCAAAATGAGGAATTTAGAGTTGAACATCGGCACTTGAGGAGCAATCGGGATGATTCGAGATGCATTCGAGAGTGGATTGAGAGCTTTGGAGGTCACCGGGAGGTTCACGATGAAGATTTGATGACAAAAGAGCTCTAGGATTGGCTATGGGATCAAAAGAAGATGAATGAAGCTGGAAAACGACGATCAGGATGACCTTTGGTCAATCGTTCAAGCATATCTCTTTGTATAAGCATCCAATGTACACGATTCAAGTTCCATATGAAAGCCAACTTCAAGGGCTACAAATCATATGAAGACATCATTCCGAGAATCTGAGAGGATCAAGGTGAAAACAGATGATGAAGTCAGATGATCTCTGTTGCGATTTCAGAAAGACACCTTCCACCATTTTAGTCATATCTCTTGATTGGGTGATTCAAATCACATTCGGCAAATTGGGGTGGATAGAGGACTTCATTATCTACAACTTTCATGAAGGAAGTTTTGTCAAATTCGGAATAGAAAAAAGGCTGAAGAGCACGGACGCACGATCGTGCGTAAAAGGACGCACGATCGTGCGTAAGAGCCAACAACGCGGCAACTAATCTGCCTGCTACGCACGATCGTGCGTGGCAAGGTACGCACGATCGTGCGTAAACCCGAGACGCGGATTTCAGCCCTTTTTTAGTCCCAGTTCAGCCCAAACTCATCTGTTTTCTATAAATAAGACCCCCATACCCATATTTTGACGTTACGAACATTACGGAGAGGCCTAGGGACGAATTTAACACCGTTTTTACGCTATTTTCTTCCAAGACCCTGGGATTATTTGTAAGTTCATCTTTTTAATTAATGACAATTATTTCTATTCATCCCAATTCTGTTGATTCTTCAATTATGAATCGTGAGTAGTTTAATTAGGGATTTGGGATTGATGAAGGGGTTAATCATGATTGATGGCTAGATTCTTGTCGGTTTAATTGCATGAATGCCGTTTAATTTGTGTTTGAATAATTTAATTGATATCTCTTGTAACCTAGACTGCAGCTAGAATTACAATTGCATGTAGAATGAATTAAGAGAGATCTAATTTGTTCTAGGACACATTCACACACACTTAATCGTTCGCTAAGAGATTAGTAGCGATTAAGGGGCCGTAAGCTCGCTCGTCTTGGCAATAATTTAGGATCCTGTCGCATGAGAGATCAGCCTGGTCCCCTAAATTATTGTACTCTACGCCGCGAGAGCGGTAAGAACTTAGTAATGATTAGCTAGGCTCAATTAAATTAAATTCATGTAATTAGGCCTGATCTGTCAGAAATCTGGTTACCCCGGAATCAATCCCTGTTCCCTTCGTCGTTAATTGAGAAGAAACCAATCTTTTATTTTTATCGCTCATTAGCATTAGTTTTAATTTTAATTCAACCAATCAATCTCGCACACTTGCATTTATTTATTTTTATTTCTTTTTAATCGCTAAAGTTTAGTTAATCTTTATTTCCCTTTTGTCCGTCCCTGTGGAGACGATACTCGTACTTTACACCACTTTTCTACAACTATTTTTTAAGTGCGAGAAAACACACATCAGTTTTTTGGCGCCGTTGCCGGGGACGGTGTCGGATTTAAGGGTTAATTAATTTTAGCGACTTGTTTTTAGTTTTTCGTAGGATTTTTGTCTGCTAACCTTGCAGGTCAGATCTGTTTATGCATACACGCTCTAAGAAGGGAGAATCACTAGTCCCTCTTAATCCTGAGATCGAGAAGCTAGCTAAGCAGAACCGCAAGGCTTTACGAGAACAGAAAGCAACCATGGATCAACCATCCGCATCTGGAATAGCTGGGACGTCTGAGGTCCAAACCACTTCTGGTAATCTGGATTTTTATGTTAATACCTCTCCCCAGTCTTCACAAGAAAATTCACCTAGAGCTTATCTGGGGTATCAAAATCTCCGTACCCCATTCCTCCCCCAAAATCAGTCCACTCCACAACTAAATCTTCCACCACTTTATCAGCTCTTTCAAAATACTTCTATTGCTCCCGAAACCACCTTTCAAAACCAAACCTTTGGGATGCAAGGTCTAGGGCAAAACAATCCAGTCTTCCAGCCTAGACAGAACCAACCGCCAGTCACACAAAATCCACCCCCTACTCAGCCACAAAATCAGCCTCTCCAACCCCAATATCAACAATTCCATCAAACCCAACCTCAGCCAAATATCATCCGTCCACAACCCATTAGACCCCAACCAGTTCATCAGCCGAGATATCAAGCTCCTCCATACCAGAACTATGTCCCTCATGACAATCCGCTCTATCAAGGAGAAAGCATTGCAGATTTCCTTACTCCGGACATCACAGAGTATGACAGCATTCAAGTGCAGGGAATTACTGCACCCCGCTATGAGATCAACCCAGCAGTGATTAACATGGTGTCCAATAATCAGTTTGGAGGGAGCCCTACAGAAGATCCAGTGGCACACATTACAAAATTCTTGAGGATGTGCCAAACTTTCAAGATCCCTGGGCTAGATGACGATCAGGTACGGATGCTATTGTTCCCTTTCTCATTGAGGGATGACGCGCAGAGGTGGTTGGATAGCAATCCACATCACCACATTCAGACTTGGGATCAGCTGCACAAGGCCTTCATAAAAGAATACTTCCCAACATCAAAGGCCATAAAGCTGAAGAAGCAGCTGCAAGACTTCAAGCAAGGTTCGTTGGAAACATTGGCTGAGGCGTGGAAGAGATTTAAAGTACTTAGAAGAGCTTGTCCTCAAGGCAAGATGACCAATAGTGAGATTCTTTTTTGCTTCTATAGCGGAATTTGCGATGAAGGGAAGATGATGCTTGATGCTTCGGGTGGAGGAGCTTTTCCTCAATTACCATCTGAGGTGGCAGAAGAATTAGTGGAGAAGATTGTTTCTAATAATGCTTCATGGTACAGCTCTCGGGACACACCTCACCAGAAGACCCCGGGGTTGTATGAGTTCAGTGATAATTCGGCCCTTTCTGCGAGGGTAGATGCTTTGACTAGCATGATTCAGAAGCTTGCTACAAGTGTGGAGGATAATCAGAAGAAGACGAATCTTGCTCTCTCGGTGCCCAGTGTTAACATGGTAGCCCCCGTTCCTATTAGTCCCTCTTGTACTATGTGTGGGGGACTCCATTCGCCACATGAATGCACAATGATGGCACACTCGGCAGCCCCTGGAGTAGAGCAAGTGGATGCAATGTATTATCAGCGGCAGGGTTACTACAATCAGCCCTACGGACAGCACCAACAGGGGAATTACAGGCAAGGAAATCAGCAGCAGCAATCTAGGAACTATAATCAGCCCCAAGCACCTCAAGGCCAGCAGCAAGCACCTCAGCCGGGGCAAGAAAATTTTATGAGAGAGACTGACCAAAAGTTTGCTAGCTTGGAGGAAACCCTCAAACGTTTCATACAAGCTTCTGAGGTAAATAATCAACAAGCAAATGCAAGGATGCAAAACATGGAAAATCAAATAGGGCAACTTGCAAAAGCCGTATATGAGAGGCCTCAGGGATCCCTCCCTAGTAATACCGAGCCAAACCCAAGAGAACATGTCCAGGCAATCACCTTGAGGAGTGGAAGAGAGCTAGAACCTGCTGCCACAACAAAGAAGCCCGATGAAGTTGATGTTGAACCGGCTGCCCGGCAAGAAGAAAAGGAGAAAGAAGAGGGAAGAGAGATGGCGGCTGCACCAAAACAGCCCGTTCCGGTCAAGAATTACACCCCACCTCTCCCCTATCCGGCACGATTGACAAGGAAGAATGATAGTGACCAGTTTAGTCATTTTCTGAAACTCATGAAACAAATCCAGCTTAACATACCATTCGTGGATGCACTAGCACAAATGCCAAAGTACGCAAAGTTCATGAAGGATCTGCTTACTAACAAGAGGAAGTTGGAAGAAGCATCAACTGTGAGGCTTAACGTGGACTGCTCAGCTGTGATTAGGAGGGATCTACCAGAGAAGCTTAAGGATCCAGGTTCTTTCACTATACCTTGCTTAATAGGAGATCTTACTTTTGATAGGGCCTTAGCTGATTTGGGTGCAAGCATTAATTTGATGCCATTCACTTTGTATGAAAAGCTTGCACTCGGTCCACTTAAACCTACACGTATGTGCATTCAGTTGGCT